CGAATGAGCCAAAGAATATAAGGTATTTCTACTTTGTGTTTTTTTTTATACGGAGGGAATTTTTTAGGACTGTGTGGGGTAAAAAAAAGGTAACAGAATTATGGGTGACCCCATTTAAGCCCTTTTTTTACATAAAACATGGGGCAATTAAAAACATGATATCATTTGTACCAATAGTATCTGCACCACTTACACAAAACAGTGATGATTCTCATTAGTCATATTTTAGCAAGTGTCAAATTGTCACTTTTATTAAAATCTTTCTTCAGGAATTTGAACAACAGCTTTGTTAACGTAAGCTTGAAATACAGCACAAGTCTGGCTCTGAAACACGTGTACACACACGGCACCACATATTTACGATCTAGTTTCCTATGAGGCTAAAGCTGCCTGAAGCTGATGACAAATTTAAACAGGCACAGAGGCTGATTACGTGACCACTTTGGCCTGCCGTGACAAACCTGCTGTTTGCACGTGACATACATACACACATATTTGGGTTTACACAGAAAAATAGCTTTCATTTTTTTTACATATACAAACTAGTTTAGACTCAAATTCAAGCTTTTATTTTGAGGTGATGTGCGTGCATTTCAATTTCTTTACTAAAAGCAGGCTTTTTAAGGGGGTTTCAAATGTTACACCGTCAACTAAAAGGGGCATTTTTTTTCTTTTTTAAATATAGGTGTGCCCCAAAAAAGCGTTGAATGTCACGCTTCTGCTACTCCGCGGTGAAGCAGCAACAATGTCTTCCCTGATGAGCCGCGACGTTTACCGCTGCACAAACACACCACGGCAAATCTCCGGAGGCGTCCAAACAGAAAAGTACATCGCGACAATTACGCCGCTCACATTTTGCACTAATGAGACCACCCTCTTGGTGACACTGGAATTTTTTCTTGCACATTTTTAACCGTTTTCAGACCGAATGCACCCCCCCCCCAAGCCTCCCACACCCCCCCAAATATTAATTATTTACAAGAAAAAAAAGTAAAATTAGTCGCGTACATGAGTCTGTTTGATTGGCACCCAGGATGATTGCATTACCATGCCGCTGATTACAACTACGCAGATGATATCAAACGCGGTGTATCTATATAAGCAAATGTGTGTGGTGACCACTTAATTGTCCTGGTCAGCAGGCGCGCAGCTTTCGAACAAGACATGCCGCATTGTGCGAAGTTACACAGAAATTATACTTATTGTACCCAAAAAAGAAAAATCTCCAGGTTGAACCTCGAATACACGAAAAGCATTTTTTGTACAACATCCGGAACCACTGCTGTGCGTACCCCATAAACAAAAATAAATCATTGTTAACAATACTGTATACACAAAGCATAGGTGCCAGAAACAGGCCACCTACAGCACACAAGCGAGACTGATTCAGAAAAGTGCTCTGTACTAATTTGGCTAAAGTTCAAATCCTATTTTGGGCACTGTAATCATTTGCCACGAACGTTTCTTGTTACAACTTGTGTGGAATGGCTTTAAAAAAACTACTTATTTTGTGCCATTGAGCCGGTCGTGCGTAAGATCCGGGTGGAAAGAGGCGACGGTTAAGCGACGATGTAAACACGTTCGTTCATTGAAGCAGGGGGACCTCCTCCTCTTCTTTCAAACGAATCTTGAGATTCGGCGAGTCCTTTCGGGGATGAGCGGTAGAACTTTGGTTTTATTGGATGCCAAATGCCCGCCTCGTGCGGAGAGAGACGCGTGCGATCTGGTAGTGTGTTCCCGTGTTCCAAACTCCGAGTGATGTCGCCTCCTTGTAACGATACTTGGCACTAAGCTACAGAGGGGTGACGACGGTGCAAGTAGAACGACGGCAAAGGAGGATGGATGCGTTCACATTTCTGCGCGCAATACAAAGATTTACCGAAAATAAAGTACACTTTTCCAGGGGACTCTTGCTGGCAGCTGATAAAGCCTCACCAACGTTGGTTGCCGTCATCAAATGCGCCACAATCTGAAATGTGAGGCAGTGTTTCGGGCGATGCATTTTATTCCGTGCAAAACGGAGGGAAGGCACGGGACCGACTCGTATTCATTTGAGCTTTTACAACTTGACGAGCGGCCACACGATTACCTAAAGGACAGCGGGACCGTGGTCTTCCAATAGCAGCTTGTACGCAACGACATTTTTGTTAGGGGTTTAAAAACAGAATGCAACGATGTAACGTTGAGGAGAATGAGTGACAATGGCACGCAGAGTGCCCTGTTAGCGGCCGTGTCCGTCTTCGCTGTGCCACCAGGCCTCTTCCCCACCCCACCCCCACTGAATTCTCGTTGTGCTCGAGTTGACTGCGGCACGTTGCCAATCCAGACGGTCCACAATGTGAATTCGCAAAACCAGCGGCACCACCACCGAGTCCACGAGGCCAGAGGTGGCATCACTTCAGCAGTTCACCAACTCCTGCGTGCGGCCAACAACGGCTGAACGATTGCGATTACCGCTTGGGTTGAGCAGGTTAAAGGTAACGACTCTCATTAGCCGCACAGAAACAAGCAGGTGCTTCGGAATGCACGCTACCGGAGGGGGTGCCAGGTGTGTGCTCTGGCCCATGGGCTAAGTATAAAGAGAGCTCTCCTCGGGGTGAGGTAGAGGTCGCAACCGGGTACCCGATACCCGTACCCTACCCGATACCCGGCTACCCGTACCCGGCCAGGTACGGGTAGCCGTTTGCGACCCCGGTGCGGCCGGGTACGGGTAGGCCGTGAGTCACTGGTGAGTAACCGTTTGTCACTCATTTCGGGTAGGGTACGGGCAGGGAACGGGTACCCGTACCTGGCCGGGTACGGGTACCCATTTGCGACCCTGGTGCGGCCAGGTACGGGTAAGGAATCAAAACCCGTTTGCGACCTCTGGGGTGAGGGCCTATCCAAGGTGATCTCACTCGCTTACAAGCGGCCACTGCATATGACTCTGCTGCAAGTTCAACATGACGTGTGGTACACCTTCCAGAATGCACTCAATGACATATTTTTTTTTTTAAACATATCTTCCATATTTAGTCATTTTCCTATGAAGCTATTTAAACGCGTTTGCTTAACATTTTAAGTGTGTTGTGTTTTTGACACAGACGCACGAAACCCGGTGGAAATGCACCGCTGTACGAATCTCTTTGTAAGAGATTTTATTTTGGGAAAGCTGTGGTTTAAAACAAGCTCGAAAATGCCCTCAGCTCACACTCTCAATTGGATAATAAAAGGAGAAACCATCGCTTTGAGTTGTTTAACGAGACACTGCCACCAAACTGAGAAGAAAACTCTTTGAGAAAAACCCAGGGGTGGAAGCACAGAGGAACGCAACGGGAAAAAAACACCGCCAATTGTGGCCAACTGAACAAAACCCAAGGTAACGTTCATATAAAAACCAACGACATATATAAAAGTACAAAAATTAACATAAAAAATGACAAAACTACCACGGCAAACTCAAAACAGCAAAAAAAATGCAACAAAATCTGGCTGCTGCCTGCATGTCATAAACTAAATACACGTGTACAGTACGAGTCGTCGTGACAACACAAAAAGGCGATTTAAAATATACAACTCGAATTCTGTTGCCTCATCTGCCTCGGAGCGTTGTCCCTCGGCACGTGTTTGTGGAGTTTATTGGGCGGCGTTCATCAAGCGATAAGTATGGGTTTCTGCTCCTGAGCCTGGAGAGATTAAAACGAACAGCAGAGCCACATCACAGGGCTCACACTTCACACCGATTTGGCTACGGTGAACCACAGATCGCTCCTACCTATCCGCGCGATAGTGGTCACCCCCGCTAAACGCAGAGTCGCCGTCGGACAATGCAGGCCAGTGGTGGACAAGGCACAAGCACTGTAACTCCGCAAGGGACCAGCCACCACAAGGCTGCTGATTTAACGCAGTAAAATACGCAACACCAAAAAAATCTAATATTCAAACGTGATTTGGAGCTTTCGTGACTGCAGGAATTACTCTTTGCTTCTTTCGGTAAAGTCACGTAGAAAGAAAAAAATATTTATTGTATTTGAAAGAAAAATAAATATTTAAATATTTTGTTTTATTTCTACGCGACTTTACTCAAAGAACCAAAGAGTAATCTAATATTCACCGTCCATTCTTATGTGTCGAAACACATCCACGCCTGTTTGCCTCACACCGAACTGAAGCTGGCGCGAATTTCTTCCTCGGTAGTGGTCTCTTCGCACACACATTCTAATTACGTTTAGTGGTCACAACTTCTGGTCGCGTGTCGCCCTGCGTCATGGTGCTCAACGGGCGCTGGCCTAGTTGGTGCTTCGAGTGGCTGCTGCAGCGACGGCGTGCTGTGGAGGTGCGCGGTTGGAACCCGCTGGGCTGCCCGGGTTAATACTGCGGTATCAACCCGTACAAATACGTGCCCCGTCTGCTTCACAATTGGCCATTAACGATCCGGTGAGGCCACTCGATAAGTGGGACATTTTGTGCCGACGTCATGGTCCAAATGTGAAAAATTACCTAAAAATTACTCGACTGTGATGACACACAGCAACAGCATCGCCCCCTACTTTAAAACTATACTGCGTGAAACATAGCGCCTTCGTGATCGCCTTGTGCTATAGGAATGGCACAAATACCCAATGTATTAGATTGTTATTGGCTACTGAATACCACATCCCCCAGACGTGTGAAAGTGCAATTCAGTAGTTAATCTGCCATGTATCGTGCTTCGCAAATACAAGGCGGAACTCATAACGTCTCCATGAATGCGGCTTTGGAACTCCCACTTGTCACAAGCTGGATGTGGTTGCGGGGCCTTGTGCTTTATACCGCAATGATACGGTGGTTTCCGAGGTTCGTCTTGCAGGAGAGGGGAGATGACTTGCATCAAGGAAAGCAGCACACCCCTTGCTTTAATCTTAATTTTGGAGCTTTCGTGACTGCAGGAATTATTCTTTGGTTCTTTCGGTAAAGTCACGTATGAAGATAAAATGAAAAATTAATTATTTAATTTATTATTTTATCTTTATATACGTGACTTTACCGAAAGAACCAAAGAATAACCCCTTGCTTTGCTTGAAGCAGTTTCTTGAAACTTTAATTTTGGACCCACCTCCTTGGGTGGGGGGGGGGGTTCGAGATGTAAGGGAGCGCGTCCGCAGTTGTTCTGTAGACCGCGAGACGCGCGAGTGTTTACGTTGAGCTGGGTTGCTCGAGCAGCCGGTGTGCGGCACCCGCTTCCACACTCCCTTCACCTCTGCTCGGTCAGGGGATGTTTGTACGGTTATATTCGGCGGTTGCATTATTACGCGTTTGAGCCTTTAACTGTTACATTCTTTGTGTTACTCGTTAAACACCTGTACGAGCTTTGAAAGCTTCGGACAGAGATTCCACGTCGTGGGGTCATGGGTCATGATGTTGTGCATGGCCAGAACTCAGTTGTGGTTCCAGAGTGCTGAAGGGAGACGGAGGCCCGTTCAACTCATCCCATCGTGATGACTAAACTCATGCTTTTGTGCTCAGCTATTCTAAACGGGTTAATTAAATTTACGCTCTGTAAACATGCATAATAATCCCAATGCAACGATGCCACAGATTGACAACTGATTAATTGTCAGCAATACTTTCTGAGAGATTGAGCTCCCTGTTCTGTCCACATGCTGTTGGTAAATAATGCGTCATACCGGAGAACATGCTTTTGAGTCTATTATGGCTTGATGCAGACAAATAAGTGATTAATACTTATTGTAATTGGGTGGGATTACAATACAAACAGTGCTGTAACACAGGGTGCCACCACAGGGTTATTCGTGGCTGTTTAAAGCTGGAATCGAACATTCATTTGCCAAGGATGGGGAACAATTTAGTTCGTCAAACGCGAGGCATGTCGTCACTGAAGGGCACAAGGCAGGTAAATTGTACGTTCCCCACGTACCGTGCTTGAGGGACATCAACCCACAAGCGAGGGGTAATGATTCGACACTCTGCAAGCCAACAATTCAGTTTTTCATAATGTGCCATTTTAGAGAAGCCACCGGAGCTATGGAATTTTAAATGTCGATGGGAAAACTCATTTCTGTAGAGCTGGTTTTTGTGTTTAGTTTGTTGTCCTTCCCCCGCTCTTCCGATTAACACGGCTGGCTATGTACGGTGCGAAAGAAGTTCAACATACATACACTGCCACCCAATATGTGCATATCTAACCCTCATCACGAGATATTTTCCACCAATCACCAGAGCATACAGGCTACCTGTTTTTCCTTCAAAGTGCAAGCTAACGCTAATTATATTACCAACACCTTCAAATACTGTCGTGCTCATAACCATTCTACTATTGCCATTAATTTTAAGCTGTGTCCAGAAACCACATCTCATCTAATTTAATTAAATGAATCGTGACTTTGCCAAACCCATCAGACATGGGAAAATACAGCTGCTCAACAGGAAAAGGATAAATGATGCTCAAATAATGGTCTTGCATTTTATCCATCACAAAAGTACTAAGATGTAGGATCTGAGCAGCAGAGATCTTAAGATATTCAAACCGGTACACTCCACGTGGACCGCGATGGTTATTTGACGTTCCACTGCCCTCTGGGTTGGCTGGCCCGGAGCCCAGCACAGAATGCAGGAGGTTCCAATAGAATCATCACATTCTTTGTAAAGTATGCGGTAAAGAGCTCAAGTTATAACTTGCAGCAAGTTTAAACAGAGAATGCCGCTTGTCCTGGTAGATTGCTAGAGTCGCATCGTGTTTGAGGCTTTTCCACTCCAGTTTAATGTGAAACAAAAAAAACATTGATACTGTACGCCTTGGAGACAAAAAATATACATAACTCAAGCCGCAAATGAGAAGAAATATGTAATTGGGCGTTTTGAACCCATTCTGCATCGTATAAACACGTTCCTTTATCAACTACAAGCATTACTAATATACCTACGGGGTAGGAATTACACAAATAAACTGAAAGCAACACGAAAGCAAGCGACTCTGACCAATGTAAAATTCTGGGCCTACACTGACCATCCTAGGAACTAATTTCACCCCTGAACTTTGGGAGAAACAGCAATCGTGGTGTGACTGCTGCCAGCACCGCCATGAATACTCCTCTCTTCCCCATTCGTACTCTCTTCGCGCCACCGATTGGATGCAACGCGTTTTCCGCTTGACCCTGGGGGCATTGTTTGGACCAATCGTGTTACAGCAGCGGCATGTGAAAGTGCAATTATGGCAGTGTCTGTTGGAAGGGAGCGTAGTTCTGCATGTTTTTTCTCCCCCCTCCAACATTACTATAGCATTTGGCTACGACAAAAAAAGGTGCACTGCACGTTGGACCCTGAAGAACACGATGATGATGTAAGCGACTGGCTCTCAAGTGTACGATGGTGTTGCAAAGCCTACGGACCAATAAACACCGACTCTAAACAGCAGCAGCCCGATTGTACATACATCTCTCTAAACACAGGGCCAAGGCATTGACATATCTATCGAGATGTAACCTAAAGAAAAAAGTGTTTTCCAAATACCCAGGTTAATATATGTTCTTTTAAAAAATGTCCTGCAGATGGGGGGGGGGGGGGGGGATCCACTAAACAGTGTGCCAAGCTAACCAGCTGCACAATATTATCACTACCAGCAACTACATGAAACCAAGATGGCATATTTAATGCAATACAAATATATATAATAAAAAAAAAGATTTTTTTTATCATTCTGTACATTTACTGAGTGTTCTAAAGTATATCTCTAACAAATTAATTGAACAAAAAACAAAACGTACAGCACTTTCCTACACCTATTACTCCGTTGTCAACGTCTTACAAATCCAGTTACAAGGTTCAAAAAATAAAAATCACTCGTGAGCTCGTGACGGCAATGGGATGAAAGGCGAAGAAACGTGATTTACGCGGTGTGATGATTTCGCAGCACACTGTGACAGTGTGCTCGTTAAAGTAGAAGTCTGAAATATGCCGTCCAGTCTCTCCGTGAAGCGCTCATCAATACAAAACTGCTCTATTCATCAGTAAGGAAACCAACACTTGTACAGACAGATCAACGCATATTATTACATGTCCAGCTCCACCAATGGGTGTGGTCCTTTATGAAGCAAGCACCAGTCAATATTGATATCCAGAAAGTAATGCTTAGCAGGAGGTCACCCTCATGGTTCAGAGGTCAGAGCACTGAGTTTGCACCACAGGTGTTGAATCCAGTTTTCAACCTCACGTGATTAAAGCATGCTCTCAAGATTTAGTTTGTGGTCTCAGCAGGGTCGCCAAAAGCCTGCACACAAATCCCTTGACATTCAACTTGGTTTTGCAAGTACAGCTGTACTAACGATTACAGCATGGTAGTATCTCATGAATGCTTAACATTACCACAGCGTATTAATTTGTTTGAAGTATATCAAAAGCGGATCTTAATTTAAATACAACTCCTTGCTTCAGCCAGATTTATTACAACATCTGCGGCGTTTCAACGAAACATAGTTTCTGCACTTTTGGTGTTTCGGTGGATTTACGTCGACTGCAATGAGGCGCTACCGGGTGACGATGAAGTGAAAGATCCCACGGCATTGCAGTTCCACCGAGGCTGTTCACAAGGAGCTCGAGTTCACCGACGCAGCAACTTCTTCTCTAACGGGGTGAGATGGGTTCTGGGAAACTACATTCAGCGTTGCCTTCACAAGTGGGAGCTGGAGGCGGAGAGAGCTGCTCACAGCAGCCCCCACCAGCTCATGAAGCAAGGAGACTGCTTTAAAAATGACACAATCCTGAGCAGTCCCAACACCGAGCGAAACAACGTGTCTACAGCCAAATTGTTCGGTACCTATGGCATTCTTTTAATGAACAGCACGAAACTAAATTGCGCGGTAAGCAACTTAAAAGAAACAATAACTAATGCCCCCCTCCATGCCCAGCTCTACACTTTTACATTTCCCACCACCACCACCACCATCATAATCATCACTGATTGAACTTTGTCCTTTACCCTGTCCATAGACATTGATGAATTAAATCGGTAAATATTTTAATAAGTATATCTTAACATTCAATACATAATGTAAAAAAAATGCAGTTGTTGAAATCGAGTATATTTGGTTAATATGTACATAACAATAGAAACTGGAAGTGTGCGTGATGCAAATTTTGTTTACCCCGAGGGAGCGACGTGTGGTCTCTATCGCAGCGGGCCGGGCTGCAGAGCTAGAGGCATGCATCACGAATAGCGGTCATAGATACCATGGCCGCTTTCCATCATCGCAGTGAACACATGCAGCAGCAGCAGCAGCAGTAGCAGGCACAGGACTGATGTCTGTGGAGTTGCAGACAACACCAATGATTTCTCAGCACTTACGAATGAATGAGTTGATTGCGCTTGGCTTTAGAGCTACGTGTGCAGTTTTCGACCAAAGTTCAAGAGCCCTACCATCAAAAATGCTTAAATTTGGGTGTGGGCTGTGGGCGACCTTCAGAATATTAAGTCGGATGGCGTATTCAGGCTTAGGTCTGCGCTATCCAAGAAGTCTGTAGAAAAGAGGCTGGGCGAATTGACTCCTAGCGGGGTAAGACCTGAGTTGGAGTCCGGCATGGTCAGCTCGGCCCACTCCATGTCCAGCCCTTCCTCGCCCAGCGACAGCACGGCGTGGCCCGTGTCCATGGGTGACAGCGGCGTGTCCAGCGACTCGAGGATGCCCGTGGGCGGGCCCAGGCCCCCCGTGGTGGCGTCTGCAGACGGGAAGTCCTCCAGCATGGGAAAGGGGTCGAGTTCCCCGTCCGAGTCCATCTTGAAGAGGCTGGAGGACGTGTCGGGCTGCGACAGGAGGTCCTCCAGTTGCTTGTCGCTCTCTCGGTCTCTGTCTCTGCTGGCGCTGGTGGCGCCGTGCGTGTGGTGAGTGTTGTGCTCGGACGGTGACTGGGAGCAATTTGCGATACTCATGGCCGAAATCGATGTCCCGGAGGAGCCTAACTTTGGAGTGGGAGGAGGATCTTCCTTGGCATGAGCTGGCATCTCTGTAGAAAAAAAAATCAAAACCATTAAAAGTAATACAATGTATTTGGTGAACCGTTGTGTAGGGATCTCTGCATATCTCTTCAGGTGAGTGTACCACAACCATACTGATGTTGAACACGATTCACCAACTCCGCTTACACAGAGGACTGGTTTACAGGACACGACAACACCTGGCAGAACTGAGTACAAATGTCAGCGCTATCGTCAAGTTACATATACAGAACAGTAACGGTCAGATCAACGCATGAAACAGCAAACAATAACAACAAAGTTATTCCGTAAAAACCTTAAAATTCACACTGGAAGCACTTGCTGGTAAATACAATGCGGAGAGCTCACTATCACACTGCCTTGTCATGAACACGAACAAGTGGGCTGACATTTCAAGTAATACCCATTACTGTTTGGGCAATGATCCTCATAATCATCATGAAGAGTAGAGGTTACGGGTCATTGGGCTGCCGTGTAACTAATATTGTCAATGAAAAATCCATTCAAACACTTCAGCCCAACTGTGTTTTATCATCCACCACAGGGGTGATTTGAGTGGACAATGCACCGCGCCTTAGTGGTAATCATACGTTGCGACTGGTATTCATGCCATAGGAGGGCACTGTTTTTCGCAAGCACAGTCTGAAGTAGTTTCACAGTGGGGGGGGGGGGGGGGGTCATGTTGCTGTAGGCACCGCGGTAGCGAAATGTTAACTCCAACGCCAAGTATGCAGAAGGTCGTGGGTTCAATCTTGACCCTGACGTCTGTATATTTAGAGTTTGCATGTCTCTCTCCTTATGGTTGCGTGGATTTTTCTCCGGGTCCTCTGGGCTTTCCTCCCACATTTAGATACATACTTTAAGATTATTTGGCTGCTATACATTTACATATGATACGCCGATTCATTGAGCTATCATTTGTGGGCAACTTGTTTCTGAAAAAGAGCTAGTTAGTTCAGTGGGCCTACCTGCGTGCAATCCCAGTTGAGAGCTTTACAAGTAATATTTCATATTTGCCAAATTTGGACCAGGACGCTGGCACACAATGGCCTACAACTTTCAAGCGACTTGTGGGAAAGGTACTCACCTCCATTCTCAATGAGGAGGTCCAAAACTTCATCCATCTGCTGACTCCTAGAGCTCTGCAAAGAAATATGAATATAGGCGATCTCGACCAAAACATATAATATTGGTCACGGAAGACTACGTGTCAAACCGAATATGGATATACACTCAGAACTACGAATGCCAGCCCCCGAATGTGCAATGTTACTGCTATATGACAGAAAGGGCCTCAGAGCTGGCTGTTGGTGGACAAAGCAAGAAGACATCACATCTACAAAGACAATGATTTAACGTCCTGTTTACAGATCCTGCCATCACAAAATAAATTGTCATCACATCAAGAACAACTGAACGCGTGACTTCAGAACCACCTAACATAGTCCAAGTGCAGGTGAAGGTTTTGTGTCAATGGCTGATTGAGGACGAATTAAAACCTAAACGAGAGAAGAGGAATGGAAAATGTGTAGGCAATCCCTCAGGTACGAAGAGGACATCTTCCGCAGATGGTGGAGATCATCGTGCATCTGGAGACGGCTGAATTGACAGATCCGAGATCCACATTCATTATTGTGACGCAGCAAATGGTTACGGGGGGGGGGAGGATTGGGTAACTATCGCACTTCATGTGCATAGGATGCATTTCTGTAAATGTTTACTCTTACAGCAGAACTGTCAATCCACTGCTGCATGAAACCCTTTCCATGCCAAGAGGGCTGAATGAACATACTTCACCACACTGGTCGGTACAGGTTGTTGAAGGGGTTGGGGGGAGTAGGACCAGGATCGTGGTCAGGAATTGGGACTTGAATATCTGGGCTCTCTGCATAGTGCGCGAGCCACTGCACGACACCGCTCAACCCAGATTTATACACATTCACAGTCATGTTAATCTCTCTGTCCGGATACACAAACGTTGAGATTACACAAACGTTTCTCCATTCATGATGGATACGTAACTGACTGTATGCCAGTGAGGTGCATTACTCACATGCTGCTGGTGATGCTGGTTCTTGGCCTGAAGAACCGCGTCCGCGTACGACGGAGGCTGCCGGTGTTTCGAAGCCGTGGTCGGCGCCATCGGAGAGAACATGTGGTCGTGGTGCATGTGGAAGCCGGCTTGGTGCAGCGAATCCGGCACCGAGATCGACTGCAAAGAGAGACAGCGGTTTTACTACCGTGGCGGAATACATCCAGGACAGTCGCCCTCCACGGCAAAATGTTTCTAGAGAGTGAGGCGACTGTGTTTACACACGAGAACCGCCACTGGCCCTCCACGGAGCCCGACGCACAGATCCCCATAGTTAAGTGGAAAAATCTCACATTCATCAATGACACTGCCTTAAAAAATATATGATAGGTGACGATGGGCCATAGCCCGAAACGTCGCCTATTACATACCTTTCATTTTAGGGCAGCGTTATTGACTAAGAGGAACGTGCCAGGCTTTGTGTTATTTGTGCTTGTGCATCACTGTCAAGTGCCTGTCCTGTTAAGAGGCTGCCCCCCACCGTGGGAAAACGACGACAGGGCTGAGCCCCCTGGGGAGGATGATGCACGTACCGCATTTAACCAAGTATTACATTTCCACCGAGGGGAGTGGTGGTGTAGTAATTAGCATGCTGCGTTATAAAACTGGTGACCTGAGTTTGATTAATGACCACGGTTACCACCAGTGGTGAGGGATTTCTGAACCAGTTCTGGGCCCCCTATTCGCTAACCTGCAACGATCAGCGTAGTGAAGTATGGTCAAACAACCCCCATGAACGATAAGGCAAGGAGGAGGCCTTAATCCAGTGGTGGAATGACAATGAGCTGCAAATAATTGAAATGATTACATTTCCACCACTGGCTCAGGACCATTGGCGATGAGATAAGTGTAGCACGGCGGTCCAAAAAATAGGAATGTACAATTACTTTTATCAACGTAATCTATATTGACAGAGAATACAAATGCCAGTGTAGTTTTTATATTCCGTACAGAGGAAGAATACAGGATGGTTGAGGGAGGTGGTGAGGGCTGGGATTTCAGAAACAAAAATGGTCAAGAGAATGTATATTCGAAAAGACAGAGGGTAACGATTTAGAGGGATAATGCGATGGCAGGAAGAAAGAGAGAGAGCACAGCGATGAAGCAGGAGATGTGACTCGGGCACAGAGGTGGGCAGAGGATCTTGATGGAGAGAGAAAACTATTTCGAGTTGATCCAGAATTGGACAGGAAGCCAGTGGAGGGATAGTAACAAAAGGCAGATGTGGTGGAGCCAGCGCGCGGGAAGACGCGCGTGCAAATACACACAACGGTGTCTGCCAGCAGCACTCTGGATTGTCTAGGTTGTAGCGATGAGAGATATTCTGGGCAAAATTGACATTGGAATTTAAGGGCAGCATAGAGGTAATGAAATCTTTACAAATGGCAGACTTATTGGCCTAAAGTAGAAAATACGTTATTGATTTGAAGAAATGTAACCAATCCACAAAGGGGATGGAATTTTAATGTAGAGGACACAAAGCAGATGGTGAGGATGGGGCATTTGAAAACACAAATGCGTATATCATCAATGCAACATTTACATTAAAATTGTTGTCATTATGTAAAACTAAGCTTTCACTGATGAGAAGACAGTGAAGAGAAGAAAAAATACAGGGATTTGATGTGTACACACGAGGATAAATATAAGTTAGTAATCTTTTCAAATTTTCATCAAGCTGATGATTAATTTTAACAAATGGCAAAGTATATTTTCCCAAGTGTAATTAATGCACATACATGGATGCTATGATCTCATCAGAATATTCACGTACGGAAGATAACCTATTTTATGTTTTTTTTTAAACAGTGCTTTATTAATTACGGACAACCTGAGTCTCGACATGTTTTAAGTAGGTTCCTCCTTCACGATATTTCACCAGTTGTTTAAATAAAGGTTTTTCACGTGTGAGGGAAACATTAATTCTCAGCAGGAACAAGAGACCAACACAACAGATAACAAACAAAATCTGCACAAGTGTGTAACCTGATGTCATGCAACAAATTGGCCTGGCTTCAAGAATAATGAATGGTCTAACCTGCATTTGATCCCAGAAACGGTTAAGCCTGGGCACCAAATTGAGAGTGTACCAGTGCTGTGCTTTGTCAGTTTTGCTGTATGGTGCGGAGGTCTTGACATCGCTTTAAGCTGATTTGGATCGGCTGCAGTCCTTCCACACGCGTTGCCAAAGATGCCTTCTTGGCATCCGATGGTTCAACTTCGTCAGAATTGTCACCATTGTATCTGCAAACCAGCCTTCTAGTGATTGAGAGCTTAGTTCGAGTGAGACGCCTGTAATTTTTTGGACACATCGGCCGTCTTGATGCGCAAACTCCAGCAATTTGCGCACTTCAGTTGGCAGTTGACATTCGAAGTGGGCTGCGACTCTGAAAGGAATGGTGCCGCACCCGTGGTTGTCCCACGTGGTTGTCCCACGTGATTGCCCCCGTAATATGTGGATCCAAAAATTTACCCGTAAAAACAAAGTTTTTCACTATAAATCCTTTATATGCGTGACGGCTAGAGTCCTCTCGTCCTCTGGCTTGAGATGGCTGCCACCTATGGGTCAGATGATTGCCTGCCACCAATTTTTTTTTCCTAAAATGTTGAAAATTTTGGATTTTTTTTCACGAAAATAAATTGTCACGCACGAGTCTGTGTGCAAAATGTCAGCTCGATTGGATCACGGGAAGTGGGTTAAAAAACGACCGAAAGATTTGCACGGTCGTAAGCGCGCAAGCAAGCAAGCAAGTGAACTTAATATAAAGGATTTTAAAAATTGGTATGGCAGCAAGAGCAATTTATGCCAATGCTGTCGCAAGAGGTCACACGTTTCGCGCAACGGTCCTTCGCCGACTATGTGTGATACATGAATGTGTGACGTGTCACCAACCCAACTGCTGTACTGCCATCTCTGGAACCACATCAGAGCCCAGTGGGCTGGGGAGTGCCACAGCAACATAACCCCAGGGCCCACCTCTCAAGCATTCACTAAAGGGGTGCGCAACCACCACTGTTGGATGTTTTGGCACGTTGATCAAAATGACATGCGGCTCTGATTACACAGGAGCTGTGGAAGTGAAGCAGGCTGGTGCGGGGGTAATGCTAGTGCCCCACAGCATGCAGTGTTCGGGTTCGATTGTCGACTTGGGTGGTTTTCTGTGTGGACTTTGTATGTTCTCCCCCCTGTTCTGCATGGGTTCTCTGGTTGCCTCCCCACGGTAAAAAAATAGAAAACCTACAATGTAACCGATATTGGCAAAATATCCCAATGCTGAAAATGTACCTGCAAATTCATCAATTAGAATTACACACAGCAACGTTGTCCACAAATATTGACCCTCCTGAAAAGGACTCTTGAGACTCACAGAGGCATTCCTGGGAAATCCAAAGTGTGATGACAACATAATAATACAATAATAAAAATAAAACATAATAAAATAATTCTCACGACGTTTCGGCCACAACGCAAGCAGCCGTCTTCAGGTGAAAACCAAGTCTGTCGAGGCGACAGCGGCTGTCTCCTCGACAGACCTGGTTTTCACCTGAGGGGACGGCTGCTTGCGTTGTGGCCGAAACGTCGTGAGAATTATTTTATTATGTTTTATTTTTATTATTTTATTACTTCCCTTCTACGTGACTTTACCGAAAGAACCAAGAAGATGAATCCCTGCAGTCACGAAAGCTTCAAATGGAAACATAATAATAATGAAAGTGTGACGCAAGGAACCTACCTTTGCCGACATTGTCCCATTCGCCAGGCAGCCCGGCCGTTTTCCATCCACGGTAAAGAACGGCTGCAGGGAAGGCGGCGCAGTTGGGCATGAGAAGAGTGAGCCCGCCATGGAGGTTGGTGTGAACATGGGCAGAGTGTGCTTTAGGACCTGGGCAGCGGAAAGCAGTGGAAAGAGTACGGCAGAGGGAGAGTCAAGAGTGAAGGGTAGGAGTATTTGCAGGGTGAAAGCGTTTTACAAAATTGGGAATATGAAGATTGAATAGAGAGGTATGAGGTGATAACGAATGAGGCACGTGTAGGAGAGGGGACAAGGGAGGATGACGAAGGATTAAGTGATAGGACAGGGGCAAGGAGAAGGGACGGAGGAGTAGAATGAGGCCAAGAAGGAGACGAGGATGTGAAGGAATGGATTTGAAGGTCAGATTAAAAAGGGAGAATTTTGAATGACGAATGTGCATAGGGTGCATAGGAAAGACGAACACATTGGTTTACAGCAAGGACACAAAACGTGATGATGAAACATAGTGACGAATTTGTGTAAAAATGTTATGGCAATTACGATAATCATTTTACCACGATTGGCAACATGACTGCCATCGGTTGTGACAAATTCAAATAGGATGACCACAAAAGCCACATTTACATTCTCGCTGTGTTTTCTTTCACTCTTTCACAATAAGAGTTTAAATGTCATACGACATTCGCAGGTCAACTGTCAACAAGTCAGCAAATGCATGCTGTATGTACAATGCATTCTGGAAGATAACAATTCATTGTATGGGACTGGAGCGACTTTTAATCTTCATTGTTTTTATGCAGCAGGGTTGGCTGCTCATTACCATAGTATCAGATCATCTAAAGCCAACGTGTAAGAACGAGTATCTCCAGAAGAGAAGAAAAGTTTTATCTTTCATGAGTGGCTGCTCGCTCATGTTCAGCTCAAGCATCAAATTAAGTAAAAAAACATTTGTTTCACATTCACGATTCAGTACGTTCAGGCATTTAGTGAAAGCTGGCAACGTGAGTTGTCACGGCAGGGAGACAAAGGGCCCTGCCATCAGCACTGCTGCAGCTCATCATGGAGCTGGCTCATGCCATGATGCCCATTTGAGCTTGAAGATGCTCCGACTTGGCACAATAACACGAGATGCACTGCGAGCACATTGTGCTCATTTCTCCCGCAGCCCCATCCTGTTGTAGACACAGTTATTGAGACACAAAGTCCAACACAAGCCCTTTGCTCTTCCCACGAGTTTGGGAGCGAGATTGGCTTCGCGCAACAAGCTACTGGGACCAACCCCAACTTCTCCTTAATCACTCCCACCTGTTCTCCCATCACCATAGCCATACCACCACTTTTAATAACCCCACTCATTCACTCAACCACCATCGTCTTGTGTACACGTTTTTAATTGTCGTGAAACGCCTTGTAATAAAGTGCTATAAAAAATCTATATCGCCTGATATACAGGAGGTCGTCGGTTCGATCTCGACCGTGACGCCTGTAGATTTGGAGTTTGCATGTTCTCCCCATGGTCGCGTGGATTTTTCTCCGGGTCCTCCGGTTTTTACCACCATATTGAAAAAACGCATTTTAGAGTATTTAATTGCTATACATTTGCACGTAATAAGCCACTTCGTTGAGCTATCATTTGTGGCCAGGTCGATTCTGAAAAAGAGCTATAGAGCTCAGTGGGCTTGGTTAATAATAATAATAGTTCAATTTGTAACGCGCGCAAATTTGCAGACGTAGTGGCCGCAACTCAGAGGCGCGGAGCCAAGCTCAGAGTCGCTCAAAAGCATGATTGTAGAGGTGAGTTTTTAAGTCTCTTGAAGGAGGCGATTGAGGTGATGCTGCGAATGTGCAGATAAATATATAAACAGTTTATAGTTTTAGTTAAGTTCATATAAGATCAAATCAACTTTGCTGCTGTGACAGGTTGCGTCATCGATGTCACTTAATGCTAGGTAGAAGGAACAACACTTTTGTGAAAACAAATTAAGCAGCATTCTTGTGAAGTCTTTTAAAACAACTCGTCCACAAAAGGGCAATGTCCATTAAAGGACACTTAACACACAGCCGCATAATTGTTTGTTTAAAGCGATCAAACTTACGATTTAACCCAGGACACAGTTACGAGTAAGACCATGCATCTTGACAGGGTTGATTTCAATCCCCTGGCGAAATAAACGTCTACGGTGGGCCTTAACGAGCTGCTGCTGCTGCTGCTCGTTACCTTGGACTGGTGCTGGCGACTGGAGGGGGAGTGGAAGAGCAGTCCGTCCTGTGGGCTGGCTGCCTTGTGAGCCATGCCCTGTGTGCCAGCTGCTCCAGGATGGCCCTGGGCTTGTCCTGCCATGTGGCCGTGCGTGAAGCCATCGGCCATCTGCTGAAGGGTTTGCGACAGGACGAGATAAATAATTGAACTTGGGCAATTCGGACACTCCAGCAATGTTAGAATCATTCGTCGGTCTTACTTCAGCATTCAGTAACGTTATCGATACGTTTGTAGCGGTTTAACAGAAGGCCCTTTGAATTGGTAAGTCCATCCGTCTGTTAGTTTAATTTTTCAAAATAATGTCTGCCCTATTTCACCACCCGCTGACAAGCTGATGAGTGTAATGTTGTTGGTAAAGTGGCTTAAGATCATAAAAAACCTCTTGAGTGCACATGATCTACACTCGTGTGTAACCTAGACTAAATCTCATCACCGCCCTCCGTCCGTTGCCCCACATGGCATAACACAGCACTCGCTCGAGTTACTGCAAGGATTTTCATAAAACTCTTTAAGTTTAATAAAGGCATTCATTGAAATAATGATTAAAATCTCAGTGCTATTTTACAGTCTCCCGTTAAAAAGGCTGTACATTATTCGGTTTGATGTCCACTTAAGCTTATTATTCTGTAGGCGATACAAGATAGGATCAGAGGTCCAATTCATATCTTTGCAAGTTAAAAGTACCATAAACAAGCAGCACATATATCTATAAATAAATAAACAAAGACAGCCTGACCCAAAATGCTCTACATTATGGAAAATATCATGACCATTTTAGGATAGCCTGGGTAAACCTGATTGAAACATTTTTAAACCATTTTGTTATTTTACCAGGTAAGGCCCACTGAGCTAAATACTTTTTTCAGAAGCGACCTGGCCACAAATGATTCCTCAACTTAGTGGCTTTATTGCACCAAAATACTCAAAACACATGTTTCTAAATGTGGAGGGAAAAACCAGAGGACCCGGATAAAAATCCACGCGACCACGGGGAGAACGTGCAAACGCCAAATATACAGGCGTCAACGGTTGGGATGGAACCCACGACCTCCTGTATACCCGACGAGGTATTTAACACCTCGCCACCGTGGCACCAATACAAATGTTTGATGGTGTGGGCCCCACACCATCAAACGTTCACTCTCCTAGGCCAGGGGTCGGTAACAAAAAGAACAAAAAATTAACCCGTAAAAACAAAGTTTTTCACTATAAATCCTTTATATGCGTGGCATCGGGGTGGCTAGAGTCCTCTCGTCCTCTGGCTTGAGATGGCTGCCACCTATGTGTCAGATGATTGTGTGCCAGCATTAACCAATTGGTAAATAAATATTTTAAAAAATTTCCCTAAACAGTGTAAAATTTAGGAAAAAAATTTTCACGAAAATTAATTGTCACGCACAACGAGTGTGTGCAAAATGTCAGCTCGATTGGATCACGGGAAGTGGGTTAAAAAACGACCGAAAGATTTGCACGGTCCTAAGCAAGGAAGCGAACTTAATATAAAGGATTTAAAAAGAGTATTTTTTTCTGAATGTGATAAAAAAAAATATCTATATTTCAAGAGCCACAGTGCACGTGAATACGAGACTCACGCGGCTCCGGAGCCACAGGTTGCTAACCCCTTTTCCGAGGCAGTGCATCATGCTTCGCAGTGAGCGGCGTGCCACTGTTATGGTGCCCCCCCACCGCCCCCACACAACACCTCTACTGCCCCCCCCCAGAGCAGCCGCAGCTGGGCCCGCTCTGCGTGCTGAAGCACCACCACCCTACCAACCTGCACATGAACTTCACCAGCAGTCAACATGCAAGGCTTGGACGGGGAGGCCGTGAGCTCCCTCTGCTGCGTCGTGTGGGACGGGGAGGAGTCGCCGCTCGCCTGGGCGGCGCCGGCCATTCCGAGGGACAGCCCCGCCGGGCCGTGCTGGGGGCTGCCGTGCACCTGGCTGCGCTGCATGTGGCCGCTCTGAATCTGGTTGTGCTGCAGCATCTCCAGAGCTTTGTACGGAGGGGCCGTGTGGCTCAGCAGCATATTTTTGGGTGAAGAAGAGAGGGCGGAGTCACTGTGACTGTGAGTCAACTGCTGCCCATTGCTGCACGATCCAAACTGCGCGCAGCTCATAAATGGTGCCTCTTGTTTTATCGCAAAAATCTGCTGCTGCTGCTTCTGATGCTGCTGCTGATGCTGCTGCTGATGCTGCTGATGCTGTTGTTGTTGTTGTTGCTGCTGCTGCTGCCCCTTTCCGGGACTGGACTGTTGAGGCTGCAGGTGAATCATCGGGGGTGCAGCGATGTGCGATAGCTGTTGTTTTGCCGTGGCACATCCATGACCCTGGAGCCCAGCTGTATCAAGATGCTTTGTGGAGGAGTTAGTGTTGTGACCACCATCACAAAAATTATGTGAGGCCGAGCCGGGTGCAGCGGAGCTGGGCTGAGTAGTATGTTTCTCCCGCTCAATCTGCATGCGGATCTCCTCTAGCTGCCGCTGCTCCTGCTCTATCATCCGCGTCAGCTCTTCGATCTTGCGCTGCTTTTCCAGCAGCATCTTGTCCTTTTCATCCACGTCCACCTTGACAGCAGAAGCTAAGATGGATGCATTGCTGGAGGCGATGGCCTGCCCCCCTCCTCCTTCCTTTTCCCCACCGCCAAAACCACTGGCAGTCATCGCGCCGCCATCTTCATCCATTTCAGTCTTGGCGATCAGAGGTGGAGAGCACAGATGCAGCGACGAGGCCATGCTGTTTGCCGCCTGCGGAGACATTGGGTAGTCGGAGAAAGGGTCTGCAAAGCTGCCGAAGTCCGTGCTCATCAGGCTCTGCTCGGAGACGGCCGGAGAGATGGGTGGCGTGCTTCCGCTGCCACCGCAGTAATTCCCCCCCGCACCCATTAGCTCTGGCGAGAAGCCGGCACTGCCGCCACTGCTGCTGCCACTGAGGCCACTGCGGCTGCTGTTGGTCGCAGGGGAGGTGGCGACGGTGGCGCTGCTGAGGAAGCACTGCGAGAGGCCGTCCCCTGCCATGCTGGACAGCGTCACGACTGCGGGGATGCCGGACGAGCCAGACGTGGACGGAGCGATGTAGTTCGGGTCCTGGAAGGGCCTCAAGCGCTCCACCAGCGTAGGCTTGGTGCCAGAAACGGGCAGCCCTCGGGATTTCAGCTCCTGCCGTAGCTCCGACACCTAATGTGGAGGGGAGTATGCATGAATTTTACCAAGAAGCTGTTCCCCACAGTGAAGTTCAGGTATATATACATGCAGAGAATTAAGGGAGCATAGTTGGGCAACTACATTTGTAATCTCGAACCAAATTGCAACACACCTGGAAAATGACCTATTAGTAAATATAATGCATCCATTAACACTTGTACTTATCAGTGGTTGAAATGTCTTTTACCCAATTATACAAACATACTATCCTTTCCCCCCCCAGAATCATTCGTAATTATTTTGGTGGATGACATGTGGTATGGCTCTAGCAACAATGGGTATAAAAACATCAGCTTTGCTCAACAGAGTATGGCACTTTTCACACTCGTGTTAATACATCTACTCAATGGCATGAGGAGTTTGGAGTCAAAATAAAAATCTCGGTGCGATATCTGTTGCGAAATGCGATATGGCTCGAGGGACATTCTGGGTTCTCATTTGGACGGAGAATGTAAAAGCACCATGGCTCCGGATGAAAGCAGCAAATCACCTTGAGTTCTTCCAGGTTGGATGGCAGAAGGCCGGGTTTTGCCGGCTGAGACGGCGCCGGGCTGGGCGTGTGACGAGGAGGAGCCGACGAGAGGGACGGCATCGATGACAGCGAGGAAATGGAGCCGCTCATGCTGCTGCCCAGCCCTCTCTGCTCTAGCGTGCAACCGTTCATCATCGCGTCACACCTGCAGGCGTCACGGTGGCGAGATGTTAACTACCTCGCCTGACATACAGGAGGTCGCGAGTTGGATCCTGACCCTGACGCCTGAATATTTGGAATGTGCATGTTCTCCCTGTGATGGCGTGGATTTTTAGCTGGTTCCTCCGGTTTTTCCCTCCACATTTAGAAACATGTGTTTAGAGCGTTTGGCTGCTATAATTTCCCACTTGATAAGCCACTTCATTGGGCTATCATTTGCGGCCAGGTCGCTTCTGAAGAAGAGCTTTACAGCTCAGCGGGCCTTACCTGCTCAAATAAAATAACATTGGCAACGAGGGAGGTGGACGTGGCAGGAATGAGATTTTGATTGGCTAAGAGATGCGTCAACTGTTGGGGGGGGGGGGGGTGTTGGGGGAAGCTGTAGCACAGTGGTTCATGCACTGTGCTATGAACAAAGAGATCCTGAGTTTGATTGCCAGCCACGGTTGGAATCAGTGGTATCTGAACTAGTTCTGGGCTGTCCACCACCCCCTTCCACCACTACTCCCTTCACCAACCTGCACTGGCCAGAGTGGGCAAGTATTGCTAAACAATCCCCATGACCAATATGGTACGCGAAGGCCTTCATACAGCAGTAGATTGACAAAGGGATGGAAATGATAATACGAATAAGATAACGATCATGCAAGAATTTCAGGAGAGGAATGCCAAATTTAACTAAACTGTTCGTGCATAAAAAGAATTCTGTTTCAGTTTTGGCTTACAAACTATAATGATTATTTCCAGTAAATGGTTATGGTTTTTGTTTCAATTCCATGGTAAATAATATATGAATGATGTTACTGTTTTGCAGTTATTTTTCGCACAAGTAGACGATTATTCAATATAAGCTTGACAATGATTAATTTAAACCCACAATTCTATACAGCAAATATAAAATGGGTGCGTGGCAAATTTCATTGCTGCACAGTACTTCGGGGCAGTTAAAAGTTCTTCTTAAAATTCTCACGAGAGATGAGAAAAGCAAGCCGTGTGTTCCTTAACGTTGAAAATAATACTACAGAATGTCCGCGAGTTTTACATTTAGAGCAAAGGATCACACCACACTTAAGGGTCTGTGGATAAGTTGACTCCAGACCGACAAACAGTGCCCATGGCTCATGAAGCAAAGTGGATTGACAGCAAGCAAAAGGTCAGGGCAGGCAACCATAAATAAGACCATGTATAAATAACAGTAGCTTTGAAGCCACAACAACAATGGGACTCATTGCTCTTGCATTATTTTTTATAGCACTTAAAAGTCGGTTATGGGTTACACTTGGCAGGGCACAAATTGTAGATGCCTTAAACACCATCTGAATATGACACGAGTAAAACACGATACTCATGCAATCAGGACTTGCATTATGCCTGGCCAACATAAAAAAACTAACACACGGTCACTGAAAAAACAAAGCTTAAAATTCGGCTATCGTGCCAAAATCAGGATAAATCAATAACAGAAAAAAATCAACAGGTAATCTGCTCAGCCAATCCAAATCTCCTCCTGTCCACAAATGGGTAAAACCACTACAATATAAATAATAATAATGATAAAATATTAAATGGTTGCAAAAACCTGCACGCCAACAGTCACAGCTGTGGCGAGCAGCGGAGTTTTACTTTGGCGGGGCGGGCAGGATGGCTTGATAGTTGTAGTGCTGCTGCTGCTGGTGGCTCATGATCTGCAGCTGTAAGAAGAGCTGCTGTTGCTGCAGCAAGCGAGAGTACGCCACGTCCATGGGGGGCGCTGCCTTCTCCAGCTTCTGGTCGGGTGGGATGTACTGATGGTACTTGAGCTTGCGAACCTTCGGCTTGGGATCTTTGGACTTTTTGCGGCTCTTGCTGTCAGAGCCTGGCTTGCCCTGGTTCTGGTGAGCGGGTGAAGCACACGGAAGCAGACACAGGGCCGCGGCGTTCAGTGCGTGCAGCTACAGCCAAGAGAGTACGGCACTGGTTCAAATGGAAACAAATACGAGAGGGTTGAATTCTGGTTTGATGAATGGGCCCTGCCAGCCACCCGCCCTCACATAGATGCCCAGGGATCCATTCAAGAGCTTTGGCTCCCCGAGAATGCCCTGGGACTTGTTGGTGCAGCCCTGGCTAACCGAGGGGTTCGTTGCTGGTGAGGGACGGTAAAGGTGGGAAAGCACAGATGTTGGAGCATAGTACAGTTCAACATTTTCCTGCACTCCCCTTTGTTGATGATGTAAGTTGAACCATTACAATGACGAGTGAAACAATACAGAATCAACTTTGCTGGCAGTGGGCAGGTCACTGCTTGTCTTTGAGCAATTGCTTTTGGGACGAAGTATTGAGCTCGTGGCACTATTGAGAGACATGTGGAGTAAGTATCAGCACATGGTGATCTTTACTTATTGAACGTGTGATACCACTGATTCACACGCAGGCGATGGACAAAATTGTTGAACACTTGGCACATTTGGCATTAGGACCAGCGACACGGAATAAAACACTTTAACGTATAAATGCAATGCACGAATAAGACTCGCGTATGGAAATGTACTTACTTTAATGAGCGTGGGCATGGACTTGCTCGGAGTGGTCATCTGCCCAGGGGACGACTGGTTGTGGTTGACTGTTGGCTGGGGTACAGGTGGAGGAAGCGGAGGTGGAGGTGGAGGCGGAGGCGGCGGCGGCGGCGGCGGCAGCTGCTGTGGTGCCATGACAGCGGCCGGGGGCTTTGATGTCTCCACTGAGCTTGGCAGCAGTGGCAGGTACTAGAGGAATACAACGCGAGGTGACCACTCATCCTTCAACAACGTCCCGGTTCAGACAACACAACTACCGTATTATCCAGATTATAAGACGCATTCCCATCGCCACCAACCTTGTGCCAGGTGTTAATAAAGTTATGCGAAGCTGGTTTCACAAACTCATAGCTATCAGATTACAAGAAGAACCCCCAACTTTTGCTTTAAAATACAGGGGAAAAGTTTTTTTAAATATAATCCGGAGAAAAGGGCATGTGCAGATATACAGTATCAAATATACTCAACTTTGTCAGCTATTCTGACAAATGCCACAAGTTCACATGCCATACGTTTACAACTGGCAGCATTGCTGCTGTATTAAATGAAAACCAGAACATTAAATGGAAAATGTTTATTTCCTGTCAACTCGATTTTATCGTAAAAACTTTACCACTTACCACACCGCTTGATATTTAATAAGCATCTGTCCAGATGATTTCATTAAACTATGTAATTGTAAAAAAGGAGCAAGTTTAAAGTGTGGTGATAATGCAGTTCATGGTTAATCGGCGGGATACATTTATTGAAATTGTCGAGTTAAATTAAATGTCGGCATGAAGCAGGCATGCTCAAAAACATAGCCGCATACTTAGATTTGCCTGGCTTAAGTATACAACACTTCACACGCGTGTGTTTATATTTATGTGTTTACATTTTCTTGAAGGAAAGTATATTCTACTTGCAGATCCAGTTTATTTTCCTCACAGCCATCAAAGTACTCATGAATGTCATCATTAAAAGCACTACATGTTGCATGTCGCCGAGTGGAATGTGCATTAGCCGGAACATTTAATAACGTGTACATTGGGGAGAAAAAAAGCAAGGACTGCTAAAATGCTAAAAAAAAGTTTACTGATGAAGTTCAAGCACGACCCAAAGTGAACTCTGGTAATTCTTAACCAGACGAACCGTTGAACAATTTGTTAAAATGTACAAGAAATACGTTAACAGTGTTTCATTTTAGAATTTAGAAAACCTTAAAGATTGATTCATAATTGTATGTATTGGGTCAGATCACCGCGTGATGTACAACACACCGTCCCGTGTGTGTGTTATACCATCCTCCCCTCTACACAGCCAAATAAATAAAGTTCGTAACGTGAACAAACGCAGCGATTTATACAGAAATCAACTTCTATCGTTGCGCGTGCCAATTAACTCAAGAGGGGCGGTCGTGACCGTGGCGTACGGCGGCAATAACATCACCATCGCTCACTTGTATGGTCGCGGAGGCGACGGGCGACAGCGACTCGGGGAGCTTGAGCTCCGGAGGGGAAGGCACCGAAGACGCTTGCGACTCCTGCGAGGCCGGCTGCTCCGGGGACGGCGCGTCGCTGCTGTCGTCGTCGGCGTACGAGAAGATGTCCGACGTCTTTGGGTACTGCACCTGACCGACTGCCATGCGGAGATGCAATTCAAACTATGGTTCATATTGTGGCTACTACCGCTACGACGTATTGATTTGTACGTGTACACGTAGAGCCCTTTTTGGTCAATTCACTACCGGATAGCGGCCTCCCACCACATTGTGTGCGATATCCGAGCAGAGAAGCGCAGCACGACAAAATATTTGTCGAACTGGCCCCTGCTGCCCACAGCGGAGCATAGCCTCATGTAGTCTGTGACAACCTTGCGTGCATGGTGGTCACCCATCCAAGCAAGCAGTATCCGAGGATGAACCCTGCTTAGCTTCTGAGATAAGACAGCGGGTGCATCCCAGGTGATTGGGTCACAAGCAGTGATGGTAATCCCATCACAAAAGCAGTTGAGCTTGCAGATATATTTAAAGCAGACCTATGGTGTGGAGTTTCAGCATGGAGTTCCTATGTGATGCAGTGTGGACATGCCTGCACTAAAAATAACCACGCGCGACTCCTCCCTTGCTCAAGGGATGCTTCCCAAGCACAGGGTGCACTCATTCCCTCTTTATGTCTCCCACCCACTACCACTGAGCACATCGGGTAACCGCGAAGCAAACTTCTGCACATCTACAACATATTGCAGATCAGGTACGATGCTTGCCACGTAACGAGAAGCGTGCACATTATGGGGGTGTGCCCTCAATGAGCGCACAGTTAACTGAGGTGCGCATGGGGCACGCGTGCACGTTGAGAGGTCACCCGCATGTGCGAGCTTTGTTTGCTTCATCTGCCCCCGTGTATCTGGTGCTGGCGGCTATGCTGCACGTGGCCTCTGACACAGCACTGTGGAGGTGAGAGATGGTGCAACATGCAGATTCGTGAAACTCCTCTACGAGTGGGCATTGAGGTTGCCACCTTTTGGTTTGCTAGGAGCAGTACTACAGCAAGTGGACGAATTCCCATCCACCCATCTATATTGCATCTGTACAGGGATTGCGTGTTATCCCACCGCCCCCCACCCCACAGGCATGGGTTTTCATGGGTTTTCAATTTTAAACTAAACAATAATTGCATTTTACCAGGTAAGACCCATTGAGCTAGAAAGCTTTTTTTCTTAAGTGACCTGGCCACAAAAGTGATTAAGCACAGGTGGAAGATTGCTCTTTTTCCATGAGCTGCGCCAAAATTTAGCACTCTGCCATACTTACATGGCCCCGCACCAAACTAAACAATAAAAAAAACATGTATTTGACCAGGTAAGGCCCATTGAGCTATGCAGCTCTTTTTCAGAAGCGACTTGGCCACAAATGATAGGTCAACAAAGTGGCTTATCAAGGACATTTCTAGCAGGGAAATACCTTAACCACATGTTTCTGAATGCGGAGGTAAAAACCGGAGGACATGGAGAAAAATCCACGCGACTACGGTGAGAGCATTCAATCTCCAAACATACAGGCGTCAGGGTCAGGAACAAACCCCCAATGTTCTGTATACCAGGCGAGGTAGTTAATATCTCACCACTGTGGCACCCCCTTTTCTCTGGGTCCTCTCGTTTTCCGCCTTCCACATGCATAAACACTCTTCAATGGATTTGGCGAAATATATGACCACAGAGCAAAAAATATACACGTACAGAATTCGACGTAATTTTGAGATAAAATTTTCATGGATGACGCTATATGCATCTGTTGAAATATATTATTATGTATCTGTGGCAACGTGGATTTCACACCAGGAAGATAGACTTTCCTGTTTTGCAATGTCCTGGTCTTTCAGCGGTTGTTAGCACACACAGTTGGGACTGTTGTCACAGAGCAATGGTTTAACTATACTCAGCGATCTGCAAATAACAAAACAGCTGCTAATATTGCCGATGTGACAGCAAGATCGTGCCTAATATTTACATAATAAAGCTCAATGGATTTCAACGTACATGAGTTGATCTCCCCCAATATCAACGGCTGACGGTCGTGGGACAAATTAGTGCCGAGAAATGAGCAACTGGCACAAAGCACGCACACACGCACACACGCGCGCACACACACACACGCTTGGGTTGTGCGTAATTTACCCTTTTCCATTTCGATGACATACATGTACGCACACGTACGTCATCGGAACAAAATCGGAAGGTAAAAATAAAATCACTTTATTGGTACCGTGGCTTCCATAAGCCCAAGCGGGAGGGTGTGTTGCATAGTCTGGTGCCAGCTATCATGAGAGTGTGGTTGTGTCGCTACAGTTCTCTATGGCGAGTATGCCTTTAAAAACGGCGCTATGCCTCCGAATAAAATTAACGCTAACCGCTTCCGCGTCCCGAGATTCAGCGGTGAACGGGACCCCACCCTGCAAACCGGCGGACGTCTCGGAATGGGAAAGGATCAATGGCAAATGTGCAGCGGCAGTGACCTTTGATGGCCTCCTTGAGGGTTGAGTCCACTGGGAGGATGTTCTTTTCCACCAGCTCCATGGGCCCCGGGCGCTGGGCGATCTTCTCGTTGAGATCGTCGGCGAGCCGCGCTCGCTTGAGCTTCATCTGCGTGGCCTGCAGTGAAGGCTCGGCCGAGGTATCTGCGCACGACAGGAAGAGACCAGCCGCACCGAAAGCTCGTCACGAGCGCTTCACCACTCATGCCTCTCGGGCCAGAGATTGCGTAGCCCGACCCAAACGATAGTCATCGTACAGTATTCCCTGGTTATTCATAAACTTGCTATCCGCGAATCCCATCCGGAACTCTACATTTCAAGTTCATTTTCAAGTTCATTTATTAGGTGTAGCCCTGTGAGCCATTCGGCTCTTGAATCGGGTGCAATCGCAACAAACAGAAAACAAAAACATGAACAAGAAAACATCTTAAAGTGACTATGTGCAAACAGAAAATCCAAGAAAAGACAGCTAAATATTGCAGTAAAAGCACCGTACACCAACACTGTGTGCAAAAATCCCAGTGGGATTCAAGTCAAACAACAACAACCACAAGACAACTTAGATTAAGGCCATCAGTCTAACTTTTCGAAAATAAAGCCATAAAAGCAATGAAACAGTGATCATAGGAACTGTGACCTAATTTTCACAATAAACGACGTGAACAACATGTACTACCAAACTCTGCAACCATAGCTGGCTGCATGAGTCACTCCACAACAGCAGGAGCATCAGTCGGAGTATCAACATTTTTCAATGCACCTTTAAGATCAGCACACTGCATCAACAGAGAGAGAAAGTGATAAAATAATGAGATAAAGTGATGAGAGATAAAGTGATGAGAGACAATGTAATGCGAGAAAGTGATGAGATAATTTACGTTTAATACTTTAATATTTATATTTCATTTGTTTATTATAACAAACTAGCTTTTTTCTCATCCAAGGACGGGTGTATATTGCAGTAAATTTGAAATATTCAATAGAAAAATAGTTCGGCTCATGATTATTAATGAGAGGGGGGAGGGGGCTTGCCCCATGTGAAGTGACATGACCCGTTAATGGTTATGGTGGAGGGGTGCGGTATGTGGCGTGACGTCACCCGCTCATGATTATTAATGAGAGGGGTGCGGCATGTGGAGTCACGTCACCAGCTCATGATTGTTTATGAGGGGAGGGGGTGCGGCATGTGGAGTGCGAGACCTTCTTGTGCGTTTGTGTAACCTATTAAGGCCGTTGGGCTATGGCTGGGCTCATGGCGCAGTGTGAGACCCGCTGCAGCAGCATCCCATCCCCTCTGCCAAGTCGTGATGTGACTACATCAACTAATTTTGTGCATGACATCGATCGTGATGTGTTTAATTCATCAGATGCCACCCAAGCCTTGTTTTGTTTTTCATGTAAACGAACACAAGCGGCCGCAGGAGGACAGGCGACATTACGATCCCTCGAACAGCAGCTCGCACACCTTCCAGGATGTGCATCTTCACCAGCTCGGCACGCTCCGGCCTGCTTCGGATTTTGTGCTTTAGGTAGTCCTCGGTCTGTGTGACACACACACACACACACGAGTCGCATGTCGTTCAGTAACGCGAGCCAAACGTCATCGGGTATAACGATAAATAATTCACAACCCTCTGTTAGTTATGGGCAGGGGCCGGCAACTTGTGGCTCCACAGCCGCATGCGGCTTTTCAAAGGCTGCTCTTAAAGACCACCGTTTTGCATTCACACGCATTGCGGCTCTTGAAAGAGGATTTTTTATACCGAATACAAAAAATGTTTCTTCTTGTTATTTTGGTTTGCCAACCCCTGGAAATGGGGGCTTGTTGAACCTTACTTCACCACAGTGGTCAGGGTGGGCTGGTGAAGTAAAGGGGGAACAAGACAAGTTCGAACATCACTTGCCACAGACGTTAGCTGTGGCTGGGTATCAAACACGGGCTACTGTGTACGTAGCGCAGTGCACTTGTTTATGTCGGCAACATGGGTCAATCATAATGACCGCAGGTATATTAAGATTCACCCCGCTAGCGATTGTGTCAAGACTTGCATCAAGAATCGTATCTCACGCCTCAGTTGAACGATCTCGTTTGCATCGTTTCTTGTTGTTTATTCCGTGTCATTTGCACAGTTTCCTTTGCTCCATTTGCTGCGTTCTAATACGAGGAGGAGAGGAGACAACTCACCCTTGCGCGCTCCAGGCTTTTCCGCTGCTCGTGGAATGCAGCCGGACTCTTCAACGCTGCAAGAAAATAACGGTCACGCGACGCCCACCGACAAACAACAGCAACCAGACAGCCTGAAAAATGGGGCGAAACAAAACATATTTCTACGAATGCCAAAACCGTAATTTGTAAACATTCTGAGTAATGTGCAGGTCATTTTTCAGCATTGGGACGTTTGGCCAAAACAAGTGACATTGAACGTTGTATTTTTTCTAGCTTGAATTGCATTTGAAAAGGGTACTATAATGAGCGCGTGAATGCTCATCACAACTTGATGAATGCACGCATAGATGTGTGCAATGCGCAGGCAATGGTGAGCAGGTATGGGCGCTGAGCCACACGCCGTAAACGTGACAGCGAGTTGGGCAGCCCAATATGCTCGTATCACCCCCCCCCCCAACCGAGCCGTCATGGCGAGCGCGCGTATTCGGCCATGTGCCAACGCCAGGGAATCATGACCAGGTTGTCGCACGCGCACGTTATATTGGTCAGAGGGAACCATCTGTGAAAAAGAGCTTCATAGCTCACAGATTCCTGCAGTCTAAATAAAGATTCTGATTCTGTAGACAACATCCATTAGCCCTGGCAACAAGTGGCCTCACTTGCCATTACCTACGTAATGGCAGTCCCGCAAGCAGCCACGATGGCTGCTGGCAGAAGCCATGACGTATGTATGTACGCTGAACTTCTTTCGCACCGTACGTAGCCAACCGTCCTAATCGGAAGTGCGGGGGAAGGACAACAAACTAAACACAAATAGCAGCTGATGCTTAAACCGTGTGGTGGACAGTCAGATCAGAGAGCAAGGCGGTAGCGGACGTGGCAGCCGAAGTAGCAGCAGTAGCGGCAGGGAGTGAAGGTGGCGGAAGCTTTGGGGGAACCAGGCCCTCAGCGCGTAGTGCCCACCTCAGGAGGTCTCGCTGAACACCTCTCCCGTTCACTTCTGCGGCTGCCTCGTTCCTCTGCGCGCCCTCCCCGATTCCCTCACCTCCAAACTCCAAACGCCCACACTCATGAGACATAAGTGCCCCCATCCTGGCTCTCGCCCCACTGGCTTCCCAATGCGATGCCGAGTCCGCCCCATTAAGATCACCCTCGCCATTATCGGGATCTCTGTGAACTCGCCCCTGCCTAGATCGCCGTCCTCTCATCGCGCTCCCCTCCTCTTCTCGTGCTCTCCCGCTCCGGTTGGTTATGTATGACGCGGAAGAAGTTCAACATACATACGTTATCGGTCAATTCACGAGTGTTTATATGTGGGAGGAAACCGAAGCAACCAAGGAAAGACCAAGTGTGCGAGGGGGAAACACTTTATCCCATAGAGACAAAACAGGTGGAATCCACATTAACCGTACAGTCTTTTCCTGGTGAGTTTCAGTTTCATACCTACCTACTTGACGCCCATGGGTAAAAAGAGTTTCACATCATTTGTGTAATCAACCAAAACTCGCTGCCTCCGTAGTGCTGCAATACGGGCCTGCAGAGCCAACACCGCTACCCCGGCAAAAATGAGAAATGTAACTGGAAAAAGGGAATTAAAGGACATGCGTTTAAACGCAGGAAAATGGGTGTATGCGTAGATATGTTAGAGATACAATAAAAACAGAACTACACGTGAAGACCCATGCAACTGGCGGAAATGGTGCAGTTGCAGTCCAATTACTGGACGTGTGAAGAAGAGCTTCATAGCTCATCGGATTTCTCCAGGTCTAAATAAAGATTCTGATTACCCTGCTGAGAGAACAATATTGTGTTCAACCGACGTCTGACAGCAGAAGATCACACTGCAATTGTACGAGTAACAGATACGTTGCGCCGAGCATGTTGTATGTTGAATGGACAACTAAAATTACCAATGTGTAATGCGATATGTTTTTTTATTTTAACACGTAGGCTTTCGCGACCAATATTATTCATAATAAAGTTTTTGGGTAAGATCGCGTTATTTATAAATGTGTCGTAACCCTCCACCACCCGACACGGCCAATCAGCAAAAAAGTGTCACGTTGACAAAAGACAAATAGTTCACTACTTTAGCCCACCGGTGTGTTGAAGCGTGAAACCACAACATTTAAAATTTTTGAGTACGACGTTTCGCTGGTAATTGCATCCAGCATCATCGGGCATTTGTCGTGATATAATTTTTACCGTTTGCATATTCACATGAAGCTGCTTGTAGACTTATCTGACTATAATTATCAAAACGCAGCTTTTGTGGGACTGGACGCAAGCAGAAACGAAACCAGCGCTGCCACCCGTGGACACTGCATAGCAATCTACAGTGTGCGTGGAGCAACTGAGAAAGTTAAAAATAAGTTGAATTAGGGGTGGCCAGGTGGCTCAGAGGTCAGCAGTGCTGAGCTGGCACCGCTGAGAGAGAATCTGGCCGGCCTGTGATCAAACCGGGTTCTCAAGTGTAGCGAGTTGATGGCCTCAGCCCGATAGCCCATTTGCACACAAGACAATTACATGCACTTGATTTGGATGCATTCCAGCTCCGGGAATTAAATAAGGGTTTGACTGTCACGTGACAAGCTATTTCCTTCGCAGTGTGTAGCGGAGGGAGTTCGCTGCCGCTGCTGTTGCGCACAGAACGAAAAGGCAGTTTGGAGGATTTTTTTTAGAGAAATTTCTTGACAAATTATCTCTCTCCCATTGGGCCATGTCCGGACACAACATACGGGGGGGCCCACCGCTCTGAGATTCCCAAAGGGATTATCTGTCTCATGATCTGACGCCCACCGCAGAAGTGAAGTTGGGGAAAAAAGATCGAAATAAAAATACGGAACCAAAAAAGTGAAGACACAAAGGCTAATAGCAAGTTACACTCAATATATTCCGCTTCACTGTTATTCACTTACCGCCTACAGGACCCTGTCATGGAATGTGCTATCCAATGACTCTAACACCCAACATTATTAATTTTCCAAAATACGTGGTATAGTATTGTCCGCTCCAAGTACAATACAGTACTGTGGTTACATTTTCTTTTATAATTTAAGACATTAACTGCATACTCTTGCAAATCGCAGGCTTAAATATCAACCGATCAAAATAAATTAAATACAGAGACATGTATAAAATTCCTGCATTAGAAACAAGCAAACTGGATAAAAAAACGTGCAAAGCTTTGAAGGAAACCCATTATAAAGACCAACAGTAGCTGAGCAAAAGCTGAATAATATAGCTTGACTATGCGGTAACATCAAAGCTCACCAAAAGCGTTGCAATATAGTGAACACAGAATCCACTCACTCGTGTTTCAATATAATAAACTTACATACAAAATGACCTTCCAGTATTTTTGTGGAACAAAAATCTTACAAGTTTGTTTCTAAATTTGACAAATGGGCGACAGAGACCGTAAGCGACGCACTCGCACTGCATAGGCAGTTTGGATACAATCTACCAACGGCGTCGCTAATGGCATGACAGAAACCGCCAAGTGCGTTTGCGTGTTTTCATACTTGTCATCTTGTGCAACGCACACCAAAAAACTAACCAAAGAGCTGCATGCTTGACATATTTTCCTATTAATTGAAAAACCTGTGCACCGATAAGATTAACATTCTGCCCCGAAGCCACTGGTGTCCCAGGCAGAACTGCGCCCTGCCCAGCCCAGAAATCAGGAATTCAGTTGGAGACCTACACGAAGCGCGCTAACCACCAACACTTCTCCTGCACACTGTGCCTGTTTCTACTTATATTGGTCCAGTTCCTTGCTCAGTCCAAAACCCTGTTGCTGCTGCTGCTGCTACAGTGCATTTACATGTCGGCCTATACAAATACGCTTAAAATAAGCCGCTCAAAACATTTATAGGGCATTTAAAAGCTCCCTTTGTGGTGAGTAAATGGCATGTAATTTATAAACTGCCGTATTAATGTTCTGTTCACACAAATGTAGACTGTTGTGAGCGTGAGACGCACATGTTTTAACAGCCCACAAAACCATAACCACAAAACAGAGAAGCAACGGAGACGTTTTTTGCCTTTGCCGGCTGCTAACGGCATGAAGTCCAGACACCTATCAAGGCGTTCACGACACAGCGCGCATAAAACTACACCACTGGGTCCGTTAGGCACGAGCGTGCGTCACCCCGACACGCGCTGGTGCCTAACGCAGGCAACGTCTGAATGTGAGAGAATGCCGCTCTTCCTGTAGCAACGTGGAGCGCGCGTGCAGGGGAGCGGCAGTGGCGGTGAGTTTAAGCGAAGGGGGGCTTGCTCCGAGGGTGGGCGGCAGCAGCAGCAGCAGCAGCAGCGGCCACACACGGGAGTGATGCACCGACGACTGTGTACTCACGCGGCATGATGCCCTGGTCCACGAGCTGCTCGCGAGTCCTGCGCTGCTGGAGCTTCAGCTGCAGCACTGCCATGAGACGGAAGAGGAAAACAGGAAGCGCAAAGTTGCAGTCACAACAAGAAAAAAAACGCACGGCCTGGAGGGAGGGGGGGGGGGGGGAGGTGGCGCTACACGACACATTTTTTTTTTTTAAACAAGAGTTCCCTTTTTTCCACACCCTTTTTCCGCGTTGCATAAGTCAACACAGCCATACCCGTCTCTGTGACACTCACAATGTACAATGAAGCGCTATCTTGGTCAAACAAGGAATTGGGAGCAGTGCTGTCTCTAAAGGTGACCATGCTGTAAGGGTAGAAGTTCCACTTTCCCATGGCAGGGAACAGTTTCTCCGTAAGGCGAACACTATTGATTCTGCGTAGGGAAGTACAAATTCTTATACATCCCCTGTTGGAATGATCAAACCCAGTTAAACCCTGGCTGGGGGACTTGAACTCGCAACTTTCCGATTGTGAGTCAAGCCCTCGAAACCACACGGCCACCCGGTTGGGCGGATAAGCACCGATCTGTGAAGTGACACAACACACGCAACAATATTGCTAGATCCATAACAGAGAGTCGTGTGTATTCACACATGCAACTGAAACAGCTGCTGCGATGGAATAAGCATAATCAGGGACACGCATAGAAAATGGGTCGGTTGAGGTTCTTAGCCACACTGCTTGAATAAGTAATTCTATCCCGGTTCTACCGCACTGCATATCTTGAATCCAATGTGTATTGCTTACAGAGGCTATAATTTCTCTAGAAATTAGACCCGGCCACATCGCTGCCCTGACAAACTCGAGCGCAGAAATGGGCAGCATATGAAAGTGAACGTAAAAAGATGCACTGGAATTATGTCTACTTGTTATTCATATAGCTTATGTATATTTATGTATAATGTACACATTTCCGGATAAAGTTCGCTTCTATACCGATAGTATTTCAGTTCAGAACGCATCGAAGGTAGCTCACTTTGACCTTAAATCAATGCATTGTTCTATCAATGCTTTGTCTCATATCAAATAAACACAATAACGGTAGAGCTCTTGTAATGGACTAACGCTGATAGGTGTTACATATGGACATCTCTAAGATTTGGGATGTACAGTTCACACACTTTAAAGATATGTGGGTAATGATCAACATATGAACTTGTGGCATAGTATGTTAGCCAATCAGGAATGTAATGAATTTGGCCACCTTTCTTGATAAGTGAGAAACGCTGATAAAATAAAACGGTGTAGTCAGTAGAAATCGACTTGTTCATCCGTGCTGGGACGACGGTGATGGAGCATTCAGTTGTGTTCGTATCAACCCATTGACTTGCTTCAGAAATAAACCATATTTCCTAAAGCTACACCCAATACGCAATAGGAGGGTGATGTGGAAATATTAGCTGTCAGATTGCATATTCATTTGAGGCGTGGAACTGAAACTATATCACACAACCATACTTATTTTGGATTGAAAACCAAATTATGTAATTATCTATTACAAAAGACACCTCGTTCGAGACCCAACCATTGCACCTCGTGGCTTTGATATTCGTTGATGACACCGGGGCAGCCATTAACAGGCCGATGCGCCCATCTCCATCAGGAATGGAAAATGAAAGTCAAGCGACAGTGGCCAAGCAACCCGAACTATGAACCATGTAGTAGTATGCCACTGTAGTCTGCAATTATTTCAACGTATTAACAGCAAAATTCGACAACCTCTCTCATAAAGCCCTCTTGTGGCTGGCAGACATCGACATTGGCATCCAGCTCATGACGATATCGCTGCCACAAGCAAGATTAGAAATAGAATGGAATTTGTAAAATAATTCTGTCAAATGGGCCCAGAGAACAAAATGGGAGCGAAATGAAACTTGGTGAACTTTGAAAGTTATTGGTGCTGAAAAAGACTCGGGAAGCACACCCAAGTCTCCAGCTTAAACAGACACACCACAACCCCTACAGCTTACACTGTACAAGTTCACAAGAATACAAAAGGATTCAGCAAAGGTAGGCCTGGAGTTTGTCTGTAAAAGGTAGACCTAGCGTGGCACATTTAAAACTAATCATGACTAATAACGACCTCACAAACCCGTTAGGAGAAAAGTCAAATTTAATTTAATAAACGAGATGACGATTTGACATTTGTGGTGCCCCAATCGGATCAAAGAGATTAAAGAACCGCCCCCACTGCTGCCACTTTTCATGCGATTGCAGAAAGATAAGCAGTCGTGGAGTAAGCAAATCACGAGTTGGCAGATGGGTCATTTAAGCCCGGCGGATTTTGCTCTTTTTCCATGAGCTGAGCCAAAATGCAGCGATCTGCCACACTTACATGGACCCGCACCAAACTAAATAATTCTTTATTTGACCAGGTAAGGACCAATGAGCGATACAGCTCTTTTTCAGAAGCGACCTGACCACAAATTATAGATCAACGAAGTGGCTTATCACGTGGATATTTATAGCAGCCAAACACTCGAAAACATGTTTATAAATGTGGAAGGAAAACAACCAGAGGACCCGGAGAAAAATCCATGCGACCATTGGGGAGAACATGCACATTCCAAATATACAGCATGCGTCAGGGTCGGGATCGAACCCACGATCATGGTGGCGAGTTAACATCTCGCCACCATGGCGCACAAACAAGTGAATTGTATGCATGGTGTCTCACGAAGGCCATGTGAGGGCGACATTTGGATCGCACCCTCCAACCAATGTCTCAATAAATTGAGACCCGTTCGGGGTACTCATGACCCCACCAGTCCATCCATGGACTCGAAATGTCCACAGATTTTACCATCAGAGGCTCATCACGTTTGTGGTTCCTGGCAGCCAAGCGCAACACTCTCACCAGGCCACCAGTCCTATTAATTACGTTTTCAACGGAGATGGCAAAGACTATGATGCTGTTATTGATGATGGTGAAGATCATTATAACATGCGAATGACACTGATCAGGCTATGATAGCAAAGATAAATATTGTCATCATTCATATACACGATGAGGGTACATGTACAGCACCTTAATCACTCCACCGCCAGATGAGGGAACTCGATGCTTATGCACAGAGGTGATCAGTGCGGGTTGGTGAAAGCGGGCAGCATAGACATGAGAGCACAGACGAACAGTACAACCACAGATATTTCCACACACCCAGCCACCACGTGTCCCTACAGCAGCCTACAACATCTCATATTGCCTGTCAGATTCGTACCATCCAGAAAATGACTACCTGCTGCCAATGCGGTTGAACAAACAGAATAAAATAAATATTGATCACTCATCATATTTATCCAAAATGATACCTCGCAACTCTTCCCTTGCCACGAGTCAAACTGCAGCAGAGCTGCTTGTGTTTGTAAAAAGAAACACCCTTTATGAAGTTTCCATTTTGCGGCAACGGCTACAGCTTTGCGCATCCGTGACCTGGGGTAAGCATTAACCTCAAAACGTCATCAAACGTCAACGGTGTGGATTTGTGATAATCCGCACAGCAGGTTGGGAATACAGTCGGGCGGCGCTGCTGCGTTGCGCCCGCGTGCACCTCTCTGCGGATGTCCTCACCCCTGACCTGGTTTGTGGTGAGAGTGGACGAGCTATTTTCTGCACAGTGAATAGTTTCAACAGTTGCCCTTGCCGAGCATCGCGCACCCTGGTCGAGGAAGGGCAGAGGCAGCTGGGCTCGTGTAAACACAGGCAACAAACATTATTATTTTTAAGTACAAGAACCCCTTTCCGATCTATCATAACGTATGTTACATGAGAAAGGGTGCACCCCACTGTACATACTCTGGTGAGAACTACTTCTCTTGTGTGTAACCCATTTTTATCACCACCTCCCATCTTCCCAAGCTCTCACAACCCCTCTCCTTAAGCCCCCTGTGCACCACACCCCTCCCCCCAGCCCACTCATTTCACCACAGGGCCCCTCAACGAGTTCCCATGCAGTGCGCCTGAATTTGATGCAGTCCACCCCACCCCACCAGCACTCCCTCACTATCAAAACAACGCCCCCCCCTCCCCCAATTCACCTCTCCGGTGATGATGGATTTTTACGGCCAACATTACGTGTGCGCATGTGAAATGCCAACATTCAGGGCTAACGAGGTGACTGTAAGATGGAAGCACAACAAGTTGGTTTGCCGACAGAATATTCAGTTGTAATTCCCCGATTGCATTTAAATCGTGCCGAGCGGTGCAGGGGGGTTAGGAGGCGCGGGAAAGCCCCCGCGGGGCGCTCACAAGGAACGGTACATCTAGGCGCACGTGGGAACCGACCCTGGAATATGACATCATGGGACTAATTCTGAAGTCGCCAGAATAAGCGTCTCACACATCAGCAACTGTGAACAGTGCAGCCTCTGTAGAAACTTGTCAGGGCTATCCTCCGACGAGCACTTTTTTGTTCCCTCCAGCTGCTGCGCTTTTTAATATCTGTTACAACTTTAGTAGTGATGTTTGTTGCTTGCCGCTTGATGTTATGGGCCTTCGAGCAAATGCTCGGCCACTGTTACAAGATAAAGTTTAATTCCACACACGCGCACAACATGCGCAATAAATAAATGTCTAAACTCTCACGACCTTCATGAAAAAGTCTTGAGACTGAATAGGGTTTTTTCTTGCTATGCAGACTTGGTTTTCATGTTATTTACCGAAACTCATCCTAAACCCTTCACTCGCTCTGCACTCCCCATTCACTCTTACTTAAACTGATGGATGGCAATGAAAATCATTTGAAGTTATCACTTGAAAAAAATGTTCTAGACTTTCTCACGAATTTTAAGGAGTTTGTGAAGAATCAATGAAACAAAATAGCAGATGACAAATTATATCTTACATATTAGCAGAAACATATGTAAATGATTATAGAAAAAAACTCGTCTATATATATTTTCTTAATAATATCACAATGTCAAAGCATAGTATCTTACATGCAAATCTTCAATTCGCATAAAATTTCTGCATAATTTGTAATGCCGTACATTATCGCTGAGGGTTGGAAAATAGTGGGAAGAAGGCGCGCTGAAGCTGGAAACAACCAATAACGGTGTAACTAGAGTACGTACAACAACAACAACACCACGAGGGAAGTTGGCTGAGAGAAGAGGAATACCGTTCAACGCAACAACACGCTACATACGGTCTGCTGTAATGGTCGGGGGGTTAGAGAGACCAGTAGTTGCGGTGGGGGTGCCACAGTGCACTACCAACTCGGCAACCAGAGGTTGATTCCCGTCCAGGGCTAATAACATCAGCGGCGAGCGTGGCATCTCTCAACTGGACCTGGGCCTCCTCTTGCTTCACTCGGCTGCACATACCGAAAGACTGAAGTATGGTCAAACAACCCCCTTGGGTCAAATACAACCACCGATTAGCATGGTTGGCTACGTACGGTGCGAAAGATGTTCAACATGCATGCATCCATCCAGCACTGAGTTGACAAGGCGCAAATTATAAAATTATAGTGGATTGACTTTTCACAATTCGTATTGTTGACCATACCTTATGAGATTAAAAACTAGTGGCAGGAAAACCCAAACCTGCTTTGGAAATACAGTATAGAGAATTGACATACAAAACAATAATAATTTTTTGATGCATTTTCGGGTTTTTTCTAGGAAGCGAAACGTCGGATACCGCGCCAAACAGCATGTGCGGTACGGCACCCAAAACACATTGGACAGCCACGCACACAACCGCGGAATCCCACACAACGCATTAAGCATTAAGAATTAATCAGCATGGTTTACGTAGAGTACCCTCAGAAGGAGAACGTTTTATCCTACCCGTAATGTGATTTAGATATTACAATGGTTATATTTCGTAACCAAAAGATAAGAAGAAACTGTAAGCTCAGCACAGAGGAGATGGCTCCATGTCGCCTGCTAGTTATTTAACAGACGAGCCGTGCGGGTTTATAAATTCTTACAGTCATCACGCAACGGTGTGCGAGTACCGGTGCACTTTAAATACACTGTGCGCAATTTTTTATCCACGTAAATTGGAATTTTTCAAACGTTAAAAGGTCCCGTGTACAAATCACGGGACGGACAATTCGCCAAAGGCGATGACGGTTTCCAGGCACCTTGGCGTTCGGTGTCTGGCGTCAGGATTCTCCCAGTGTATACAAGCATTAGGGGGTTGTTCAATATTTCACCGGCGCAGGCACCCGGGAGGTATGCTGACACGGTGATTCCGAGGTGCTGACAGTGAAACATTAAAGCTGAAGCATAGAGCAGCCGCTTTGCTGCAGTCTTCAAGAGGGGACTAGCCAGCAGAGCCGCGATTGCCTCCGGAAAAAGGTAAAAGTGCAGCCTTGCAATTACTTGCTCGTGGCACCGCTGGCAGTAGGGCCTCCACGACATTTGGGAGGGTATTTTGGCCTAAGCCTCTGCAATCGACCTTGAACTTCTTGGAAGACAATGAGAACACCCACATTTTAACCCCAACACACACGATCTGCCACCCATCGACGAACTGTGGGTCTCCTGTCACCGTTCTCCCATTCACGTTTCATTGCTTCTACATACTATTAACATTCCCTCCCTTTGTTAATGCTACCCCCTGCCCCCTCCCTTTGGTGCTGCTGATCCTGCATAATGCATGGGCATAATATGACTTTGAAACCCCCCCGCCCACCTCCTATGCATTTCCCATGAACATGCTAAATTCCTCTTGATATGCACATTCTTTTGTGAAGGCGCTCTTCTTCCACCTCCAACTCAGCTTATATATAAGCTCCTAGCTTGGCAGTGTCTCATTCTTCACCTGAAGACGGCTGCTTGCGTTGTAGCCGAAACGTCGTGAGAATTATTTTATTATGTTTTATTTTTATTATTTTATCACTTCCCTTCTACGTGACTTTACCGAAAAAACCAAGAAGATGTGGCACACCCATTTATACCGCTGGATCGACAGGTGTGGGAGGATTTAAGAAGATTTAAGAAGCCTACCTGCTGTCCTAACATTGGGGCGATCGGGACGGACAACTTCTGTTATTGCAAGTGCGGTGCGCTAACGATCCCATCTCCCCTGCCTGCAGGGAAATACGTGCTCTAATTTAATCTGGTGACACTAGCCGGGAGCGGAAGCGTCATTGCCAGTAGTTTCAAACGCCACGTCAAAATTCTGCTAAAATATGAACTCATTAATGCGTGGATGGCACAGACTAACCAATTTACATACCACTTGTTTTATTCATGACAAAAACATTTTATGGGCATGCATCTGCAAAATTACATTCTTATTTTCTCGAATCTTTAAAGCTAACTTTAACACCAATTGCTTAAAACACCTTGTTATCGTTCGTTATAAACACTGCCTTGTAATTAAATAAAAACATATTCCAAAGTGCTCCACACGTAGTTGGACTAATTGTGCATTGTGTTCCATTCTGTTTTAACACGGTTGCCGAGCAATGGTCCACAGACCCAAAAAGTCAAGCGGCCAGCAAAAGCACACCATTGAAAATGCAAATATACAAAAAGCGTCACAGTGATTCTTGATTTGCGAATTCTATTTGATACAGAAAAGGGCCTGTGAATAGAGGCACTGGGGGAATTGTCGTCCGGAGCTCTGGCCAAATATTTGCCTTTTCTTTCAAATATGACGAGACAGGCAGCACGTCAACTCAGGGTGAGGCTGCCCAGTTAAACAAAACAAAAAGGAGGAAGCTGCTGAAAAAGCCACGTTTTTTTGCACCTTTCTCCCGTGTAAGCACTGCTACGACTGTAACATCTGCTTCGGTGGGTTTGGTGTCGTGACATTGGCCTTGCACACCTGCAGCAAGGAAAATGTTGAGTAATTAAGCCATGAGATCACATCGTCACACACACGTGCAACGCATTATGATTGACATCAGCAATGTGCTCCCGTGCGTGCCGGTGCTTGACACCTGGGTCTCTTCCGAGCTACACTTCGACTGCAGCATGCAGCCAAGCCCAGCGTGAACACTGCGGAACTCTGGAATATTAAACTTCAGAGCAGGCAAGCACAGGAGGTCTCATTGATGTAATTTTGTTGATATTTTTTTGAATGCTATCTTCTAGTTATTTGTACGTCAAGTAATTGAACCTGTAATTGGTCTAGTAATATAATCGATTACTTAATAAATAATTGGGGAGTCCAGCTCTACGACTCTGTACAGATCCCCTAAACAGCCTTAACAGACCTTTGCACAAGCGCTTTTTCGGGTGAGTGGCCAACATCACAACCGAGCCACGTTTGTCTCCCTAGTGGCGATCTTGACACATCACACCAGGTACTCATTTGAGGCTGAGTCGACCTATGCAAGGCCCAGGACCGGTTCAGATAATCGTCACTGTTGTTCGCCATGAGCGGGATTCGAACTCGGATCGCCAGGTTCGTAGTGCAGTGTGCTAACCACTGCGCCACCGCTCCCCACAAAGATATACACCCACTCATGCAATCTTGCTCAATCACCTTCTTGCATGCACTCTAGCTCATTCGTTATGCCATGTTTACTCTCTATCCGAAACACGCCCGTTTGATCTCACATATGTATATGCCGCTCGATTGCTCCAAGCATGCTCTCTCGCTCAGTCTCTAATGCACGACACCTGCTCTCCCAAACACGCTCACCTGTTTTCCCACAATCCCTCATGTGCTCGTGCTCACCAACTCGTTCACTCACTCGTGTACTCACACTCACTCATGTACATGTGATCACTAACTCGCTCACTCACGTATTAGTGTTCACTCACTCACTCACTCACGTAGTAGTGTTCACTCACTCACTCACTCACGTATTAGTGTTCACTCACTCACGTATTAGTGTTCACTCACTCACGTATTAGTGTTCACTCACTCACTCACTCACGTATTAGTGCTCACTGACTCACTCACGTATTAGTGTTCACTCACTCACTCACGTATTAGTGTTCACTCACTCACTCACGTATTAGTGTTCACTCACTCACTCACGTATTAGTGTTCACTCACTCACGTATTAGTGTTCACTCACTCACTCACTCATGTATTAGTGTTCACTCACTCACGTATTAGTGTTCACTCACTCACTCACGTATTAGTGCTCACTGACTCACTCACGTATTAGTGTTCACTCACTCACTCACGTATTAGTGTTCACTCACTCACTCACTCACGTATTAGTGTTCACTCACTCACGTATTAGTGTTCACTCACTCATTCACGTATTAGTGTTCACCTGCTCGCTCACCCACGCCGACTCAATGACTCGCGTGCTTGCGGTTACTAACTCGCTCATGCTCACCCACTCACTCACGTACTCAAACTCACTTTCTCACTCACTCACTCACGTACACGTGTTCACTCACTGTTCCGTAATCCTGTGCTTTTGCTTGCTTGCCAGGCCTTTTCAAGGGAGAGGTGGACTTGGGCAGAATAAACGTGGACAATGGGATGACAACGCCTCTTATCCACAAATTTGTTCATCTGCCAACGGTGCCCTCCACCTAAATGCGGATAAGAGGAGTTTCACTGTTTCAATCAAAATGCTGGATTTCTTTAAAAATTCTATCCGCATATAAAGACAGTGACATTCGCCGCAATAAAAATGCGCTACGCATCTTAAAAGCACAAGTTACGGATCTGAGATAATGCTCACGCGGTACTGGACCGACATGACACTGCCTCGCTTAAGATAGATCCTCCACTTCAACCAGGTGGGGAGCCCAATGAGTCTCCTTTATAAAAGGAGAGCCTGGGCTACACAGAGGCACATACATTCATACAAAAGCATTATGCTTGGCACTGGCAAGGCAACTTCAACTAAACGAACAACTAAAAATGCCAATGAGAAATGCCATACCTTTAAAGCTCATGCAAGTGCTGTTGAAAATATATAAACATTCCCTCAAGTTACCACTACTCCTTTAGACATAAAAACACGTGATATGGCCATTTAACATTAAAGTTTTCGCAGCCAATATTGTGATTATAGTAATAGGGGTTTACCCTTTTATCTGGCACCAAAACTGACACCTTTATACAAGGGATCATGTTTGCAATAACCACAACACAAGCAGTGAAAATGCAAACAAAAAGAAACAACTCTGATAATAATATGCACTGTCCTTGAAATTGATTGACGGCTTTTCTTAGAGCCTAGTCTCCACTGGTGTTGGACCAAATGACGCCAAAAAAAAATATTATGATTCACAATTGAATTTTGGGCCAGGCCCTTTAATGATCCTGATGTAGCCCAACCTAATATATAAATAATAAATAAATTATATGCGCATCGTGACCATATACATCCACTTAATTCTAGATTTGAAGCTTTCGTGACTGCAATGATTCATATTCTTAGGTTTTTTCGGTAAAGTCACGTAGGTAAAAACATTAAAAAGTAAAATAAAATAAAAATCACGACGTTTCGGAGGCACCTGAAGACGGAAGCTTGTGTTGCCTCCGAAATGTCGTGATTTTTATTTAATTTTACTTTTTAATGTTTTTACCTACGTGACTTGACCGAAAAAACCTAAGAATATATACATCCACTGTTTACTATCCAAATGTATTTTACAGGGTGTGTACAATAAAAGTGTGATCCTTAATTAATTCTATTTAGCGCTTCGTTCAAGCTCGGCTGATAAAAAAACCGAGACACTCAGTGGAGTGAAGAACATCGTATCTGACGAGTCTCGTGTCCCTCCCATAACCCTCCACGTGGCCCGACGCTGTGGCCTTGGCGTCGTCTTAAGATTAGAGGGAGAGAGAGCCTCAGCAGCATCTCACATCTCGGTTGCAATTGTTTCGGAGGCTTCTTTCTGTTGTGTGCTGTTGAAAATCTCTCAAAAGCCTCGGCTTAAAAACCCCCACGCGTACTAGGGATACGTTGACAACATCTAAACTTGTGCAGTTCAAACGCTTGTTAAGTTATGCATTTTTTTTTACATAACAGGCACCCTGTATAATACTGTAAAATTTACATTTTTACCAACGTCATAGCCAATCTGCAATGAAATCTCATGACGAAGCTTAGCATGGTTATTGCATTGGATTTCCTTGTCAACTAGCCTCAGTGCATAGCCTTAAACTCAATTTATATCGTAATGTCAGCTTGTAATGTGCACAGTATCCACTCACTCTCAACAAGAGAGAGAGGACAACTCAGAGGCACGAGGAGGAACCAAGCTCTGCGGTTCTCTATTTATGAAAGCGTTATCAGCCAACGAATGAGCGTTTACACGTGGGAGGAAACCAGGGCACCTGTGGAGAAAACCCACGTGTGCGAGGGGGCAACACTCTATCCCATACCGACAGAACAGGCAGAGCCTTCTCCTGACGAGCCAGGGTTATGGCACCTCGCCGTCCACGAGAAGGGAGTTTCACAACATTTGTGTGTGGTCCACCAAACCTCGCCGCCTCTACAAGTGCTGGGCTTACAGGCCACGTGCGTAGTTGCCGCCACTACCGCCGCCACACGGCTAATTCTGTTTGCCAGCTCGAATCCTCGCGTGCGCGCGTGCCGCCTGCGTGGTTACATGGTACCTTATTATACCCACCACACCTCGTGCCCGTAGACTTACTGCGCCACCGACACAGTTGCTGCAGTAACGCTGCGAATATGCTTACGGTACGAGGATGTGCTCGGAAATCACCCGAAGGATATGCGACATATTTGTATTAAAGCCACGTGTCAAGTTTTATGTGACGGGCTGGAAATGAGCTCCCTCATCTCATTATAAACAATGTCACACAGTGTACTGACTGCAGACGGTGAGCAGCACGTTAAGTATTGTAGGGCACGTTAACCAAGCTGTCGTAGCCCCGGGTTGGGATATTGTCACAAACGCTTTCGAACAGAACAAACATTGTAAAAGGGTCGACAGATTAGACTATTTGTTAAGGGCTATAGCGAGGTGCTTTCAAACTGAGATTATCAACACTAAGAAGTTAAATGTGATTACTGGTTACAAAGATACACATTCTTACAAAACTGATGTACTGTAATTATTCACAGAGAAAAGCATAACTTCACCATAATCTCACATGTAGAAAAATCTGTCAGATGCACCTTCAGATTACGTATTGACAATTATTTACAATATTTCCAAATGTAACAATGTATCGCCTCAAACACACACACAGCCTCGACATAGAAGTCAAAGATTCCCTGAATATCCTGAACAAACTGTTGGGCCAGGCGCTATAAGTGAACAGCACCTATGAAGGCCGGCACGGCACACAACGGGGTGGGTTGCAAGCACCACACCCGACCGCCTTTGTCTCCCCAATGGCGATGTTTACACACCGCACCAGGTACTCATTTGAGGCAGAGTCGACCTATGGGAGGCCCAGGAGATCATCGCTCCTGGTGTTGGCTGGTTTTCGTGAGAGAGACTCGAACTCGGGTCGCTGGGTTTGTAGCGCATCACCCCGCTAACCATTATGCCACCACTCCCCGAGACATTGAAGATACCGTCAAGTACCCACAATGAATGTAACAGATTACCCTACCCAGTCCGTTATGCGACAATGCCATGCGCGATGCCCATGCAATGCACACACAAGAAGCAGCCGCACCTTCCTTTAGGCTCTTGTAGATTTCCCTTCCATTGTGGCAGTGGCTTCCGTTCCACTGCTTGAAATCTTTACCGCCGTGAGTGCTGCAGACGATCGCGGCACGCCGCTGCTGCTGCTGCTGAAGCTTCTTGCTGCTGTCAATCATCTCGACGCCGATGGATAACAACTAACCCTCTAAAAATGTGAGGTTGGGGAAAAGAAATTTGCGCAGATTTGTCCTCGCTAATTTACCCTACTCTCTGCAAGAACGGCTTCACCCGACACAAACAACGCACGCTCTCGGCAAATCGCGTAACCGGAGCGCCATGGCTTATTAGAGCGGCGCAGGGGTTTGACCTGGCACAAAGAAGAAAACTCCACGGCTTGAACGGAGAAAAAGAAAACGGCGCAGATTTCTTGGAACTACGTACAGCCTCGAATCTCCCCCTCCACCCCCTACCGCGCACGCCTTAGAGCAGACCGTGCCGGAGAAATACGCAGTTCGACAAAACCAAAGAAATGAAAGGAAATAAGCAGAGAAGCTCGAGATATAACCGCTTAGCCTTCTCCAAAAAGCCGTTCCTGTGGTTATTGCTCTCCAGCGCTTCCGTCGGAGTCGGCAGTTTGACTGCGTGGACGCGTCTCTTTGCGAGCAAACTGAGTCAGCCGTGCTATTAATACCCCGATGCAGTTGTTCAAATGACGTTTGCGTGCGCGCGTGTCCCTGACTTGCAGGGCTGGTGGGAGGCACCCTGCCCAATGCCCCCCCACCACCACCACCCCCCCACCACCAGCACCCACCTCCCCAGAATAACCCACCCCAGGCCCCCCCACACCAATACCCCAGTGCCTTAGCGCAACTTCAAACCAATCGCTGGAGCTCCAAGCGGTGAGCAATGTTCCTCTGCATGTTATTTATTATATTACCCTGCTTCTCCTGCCAAACAATATTGCTCCGTGATGTCCAACATCTATTCCCCCCCGACCACCACCCCCGTTTGTAAATTAAAAAAAGAAACCCACTGACAGGGTTTAAACAGAACATTTTCCTTAACCACGCCCAATATAAATGAACACAAATATATAACATTGTACGGTTGTATATGTTACTGTAGAAAGTGTTTTACCGTTAATCCAGAGTATTCGCAAATGAAAATATCATATTTAACAACGTGGAGAGACTGTAGGAAATGTCACTTTGGTAATGTTCATGACAATAACAGCCGGCACACTCTCAAGACTTTGTGAGCGCATCCAGGATTGAAGGAAGGGAAGGTTTCCAGATCTGGGGTAAACTACAACTGTAATTGCTTCATGTGTAACGATTGCAATCACAGTGTAATTGTAATTTTGGCCAACAATAAGCTGTAGGCGTCACCACAACTGACCCCAGGCTTTGCAGGATACCAAGTGACATCAACGCAAACTGTGGTCATCCTCACATCAGTGGCTTTTGGCTCGGCGTCGAACAAAGACGGTCACTGCATCGCGCGGCGCTTTCAGATGCGCTTCTGCGCCCGTCTGGAACGCTCTTCCTTCCGATATTAGGAAGCCATTGGAGCTATGCACTTTAAATCATCCAGATTTAAACATAATTTCTCTAGAACTGCTTTTTCTGTTTAGTTTGGTGACTTTCACCTCCGAATAGCACAGTTGGCTGCATACAGTTCAACATACTACATACGAGATACGGATACCGAGAAGCTGGTGTCACAAATGAACAACCCAGAAGACGTGGCAGTCACCAATTATCCACGCTTCTTTGTGCAGATAAATGGAAGTTATTGATAATGGTTTAACCGTAAGCATAACACTCAATGGCAGGATAATCAAATAAGGTAAATATAACTTTTAAAAAGGCTACAGTCCCCATGAGTAACACGCACAGCACGACATGAAGCTGACGAGAAGGGCTCTTGTGAAATTCACAAGGGTACACAACGTG